ACTACTACTACTACTACTACTACTACTACTACTACTTAGCATACTAGTTCAATTAAGTACTAGCTCCATAAAGTAATACATGCAAGCAGTGACATATATTGCGCGATCACCTACCTACAGCACACCCCGAAGGGAATAATCATCTATCTAATCAATCCCATTCCCTGTTCTCCCCACGCACACTAAAATGCCGTGCTCGAGCACGTAATCACCCCCTCAAACCACAACATCCACGACGGTCTCGACCGATAGATACCTCAATACCCAATGTCAGTGGTTAGATTGCCCTCCTTGCTGTCATGTCATGCAAGGATGACGGGCTGCATTGGGGGTGGGTTTACCGAGATCGGGGAGAATGATTTTATCTATCTAGGTATATATGTATGTATATAAGTAGCTGGTAGATACCCTTGCATCTACCCCAATTTCTCCTGTTTGGAGTTTTTTTATACTAGATTATATTCGCACTAAGACATTCTAGCGACATGTCACTCGAAAAACAACCATCCTTAACGGATGAAGAGGTACATGATACACCATCCTCTACCCCCTTCGAACCGAGTCGGGATCATAAAGGTACATTATTACTACCACTTCCTCCCCCACCCCATACTGACTATTAACACTATGGGTATGATAGTAAAATGGTACCGCTCAACAACCTACAACGCCCTGGTCCTCGGACTGTGCAACTTCCTCGCCCCCGGAATCTGGACAGCAATGAACAGTCTCGGCGGCGGGGGCTCCGAAAGTCCCTACCTCGTTGACGCCGCGAACGCCCTCACCTTCGGACTAATGGTATTCTCCTGTTTCTTCGGGAGCGTCGTCGTCCGCCTGGTTGGGATAAAATGGACGCTCATCCTCGGCACAATCGGGTACGCGCCGTACGCGGCCGGACTCTACACACACAACCGGTTCGGAACAGACTGGCTCGTTCTCTTCGGCGCAGCGGTCTGCGGACTATCAGCGGGGATATTCTGGATGGCGGAGAGTGCGATCGCACTATCCTACCCCGAACCAGAGAACCAAGGTCGGTTCTTAGGACTCTGGTTGAGTTTCCGCGTCGGGGGCCAGATCCTCGGCGGGGCGATCAATCTGGGATTAAACGTGCATCGGAATACAGCGGGGAGTGTGAGTTATGCTGTCTTCGGGGTGTTTATTGCCTTGCAGGCGTTGGGGCCTGTGGCGGGGTTGTTGTTGACGGAGCCCGGGAAGGTGATGAGACGGGATGGAATGCAGGTGAAGTTAAGGATTGCGCATAGTGCGTGGTATGAGGTGAAGGCGATGACGCGGTTGTTTTTGCGCAAGGAGTTTCTGTGTATCGTGCCGTTGATTGCGCAGGCCACGTATACGGAGGCGGTGATGTTCACGTATCTGGATCTGTGGTTTAGTGTGCGGGTAAGAGCGCTGGGGAGTTTCTTGTCCGGGGTGTTGGCGCTGGTGTGTGGGAATGTGTTGGGGGCGTTTTTGGATAGTACGAAGCGGTTTGGGTTGAAGACGAGGAGTCGAGGGGCGTTTTTTGTGGTGTTGGGGTTGCAGGGTGGGTGGTGGGTTTGGGCGACGGTGGTCACGACGCAGTATACCAATGAGGGGAGGAGTGGGATTGATTGGGTGGATGAGGGGTTTGCGAAGGGGTTTGTGTTGTATTTGGTGTGGGTGGCTGGGTTTCAGCTGAATTATATGTTTTTGTGAGTGTGTCTGGTTGGGGTGAGGGTTGGGTGGATGTGCTGTGCTAACTGGGATAGGTACTTTGTGGTGGGCAATCTGGCGGCGGATGAGGAGGAGGTGGTGCGGATTAGTGCGTTGTTGCGCGGGATGGAGTCGGCGGTGCAGGCTGTTTCGGTAAGTGCAATGCTTTTGATTGAACTGTTTGTGGATGGTGCTGATGAGTGTAGTATGGGTTGAGCAGTGTCGGTATCATGGCTTCTGTGGGTGGAACCTATCTCAACTTTGGCCTCTGGGGCATCTCGCTGCTGCCGGCGTGGCTGGTCATTCGCCAGTTTGGTGTGAGTCTGGAAGATCGCAAGGTGGCGAGGGATTATGGACGTGATTGATGATAGATATAGAAGATCATAGATCATAGATCATAGAGTATGTTCAAGTTAAAGCTATCTACATGATGCAATATTCACAAATTGAATAAACCGCCCTTGCGTTTTCCACCCGGGTAGACCACCATTGCGGAAAGAAACAGACCGACCGTGATTCCCAACGCCGTCTGTATCATACTCAGCGCCAACCCCCCCAGTGACTCTTGTGTTTTGGTTGTGGTGGAATCCGAAACGGTGTCGTTCTTCACTGCTTCTGCATATGCCAACCCCGAGATGATCGATCCACTACTGGCCAGACCGGACGAAACCAGCGTCCACATGCCCGGCACAATGGCCGCAGCAGCGTGTCCATGCCACACTCGACTGTACAAGTTGGCACACAATCCGATCGTGAACGCCCCGATAGTACTGCCAAACCGACTGTCCAAGTGGTTGGCGGTGAAGTAGTAGGTTGTGTAGCCTGCAACGCCCATGAAGGACATGATCGGCAGCTGCTTCCATTTGGCCTGGTTGAGAATGGCAGCAAAGGCGCAGTAAACAGCCACAAATACGAATTCCTGCACGTACACGCTGCCGTAAATATTGGTGTCTCGTGAAGGGCAGGTTGTGGCCGTGGTCGCATTATCGTCCATGAGCCCGTAGATCGTCAGACCGACTGTCACGCCGTACCCGAGGAAAAGCGAATAGATAATAGTATAGACCAGTCGGATGGATCCTGCCACGATCTGATGCGATTGCAATTCCAGACTGCTACACAGCACGGAGTATCCTGGAAGGATCAGTGCAATGGATGATTCTGCCAAGGCGGAGAAACAGAAAATAGGCTCGCCATTGGAGTAGTAAATGCTGCCAAATGCACGAGCCAAGAACGATGTAAGCATAGCAACAGTAACTTCGAACACGTTCGAATACAGCGCCGATCGTGGTGCCAGCACATACTGCAACATTCCGAGCAGACAGCCCAGGGCGAAGATGATGGGCATGTCGACCGGGCGCGCGCTGAACGCCCACGGACCCACGGCCACACTCGCGAAACCGGACAGCAAGACCAACAACCATGCCTGATGAATGCGACTCTTTCGGGTAAGGAGATCGTCCATCACCGGGAGAGCCTCATCCGGCGACAGTCTGCCATGAAGCACGTTTTTGTAGCAGTTGTGAATGTCGCCGAGTCGGCCGAGATCCAATCCATGGCTTGTCCGGACCAGCTTGACCTCGGCAGTGCGGGTGAGGGGATCGTCAAATGAGATAATCATGCAGCCGGGAATGTACATGAATTGACCGTTTACGCGCAATCGGTAGGCCGTCATCTGCATGTATTCTTCGAGACGATGCGTCGGAGCGCCAAACTTCATCAGTGCGCGACACAGCTGGATCATATAGCGCTGGCGTGTGAGAAGCGAGCCAATCTTTTGTGTCAACAGCTCCTCCTTCATTTTCCTCCGCCCTTCTTTGTCGTTTGTTGGATCCTCATCGTACCACTTCTTCTTCCGACGTTTCCGCAGGTCAGTAGGTAACGGTGCCAGTCCGTCTTCTGTCGATGCTGGGATAGCACCATCGTCATGATTTTCCTCTGGATTATGTCCCATCTGATGACTGAGTAAATGCCAGAGGACACCTCCGACCAGGTTCTCATCATTGCTGTTGGTCCGCGACGGCGTCTCACCCAAGCCCAGGTTCTTGACAAGATTATTGGCATCAGAACCCAGCACCGATTGCAGCTTAGAAGCGTAGGCAGCATCCTCGAGTTCCTCCTGGGCGAGCATCTCTCTCATCTCGATATCCTCCTGAAATCCGTAGTCTTCCGGGTGCCAGGCCGAGTCCAGTCCATCACCGCCGTCAGGATCACGACCGAGTTTTTCGGCGAGTTGTGAAGTGCCATCGCGGATGGCCTTGAAGAGCACGCCCCACTGGTTACCCCCCGAGGGCGGAGGAGGATTTTCGCAGGTCAACGGGCGTTCGTCATTGTTGGTCGATCGGTTACCCAGCCGGTCGTCGTCACTGGAGGGGTCGGTGTCGCGTCGTGGAGGACCCAGATGGGTTTTGGATTCGTCAACTGGGCTGGACATGCTGAGCCGTAGGCATACTAATGACAATAATCACGAGAGGATCCTGAAAATGTTGTCTCAGTTTTCTGAAGTTGTTCCTGGGTGTGCCTGAACTGTCGGAAAGCGTACCACGGAACGGGCACTTACATGCTGTGGCAAGGGAAAAGGAAGCGGCCGAATGACAAGTAACGGCGGTGCAGAAGTTGGCACGACTTGGGGCCGGGGAAAAGTGAATAAAAATTGGCGGGAGGAGCAAGAAGAAAAAAGATTTCGACTAAAGGGGTGTGTTGACCCACCAGAAAAGAGGAGAAGCGCCGAGCAATTGATGTTATCCCCGGCCAGATGCTGATCCTCTACAGATTGGGAGGGGTTCGACTCTCTAGTCGCTACGTGGATAGCCACGAACACGTCCAGTGCTGCAATAGTCTAGTTTATATGCCATGAACATCGAGGGATAAAAATTGAGGGAACACGTCTCCACGGGGAAATCATCTCATTTGTGAAGGATGCAGCAGAATTCCTCGGGCCAGACTCCTCTGAAGGAAAGGAGCTTCTGAAACAACGGCGGATCAGCCCCCACCACAAAGCTTCGCCCCTTGGCACTGGCCGTTGCAGTCCCTGTTCGATCATGAATACTAGCTGGGGACGGGGAGATTGAGCTGGGATATCATCCCCAGATATGATCGATCGCACTATAATGAGGGACAATTATAGTCAGATTACAGAGATACTAAGTATAGCAGGGAGATGGATGGACTGTGGATGGAGACCGACCCAACCGAGGGGAAGGCATTAACCAGAATAAACTTGAAATGACTGACGGACTAGACTAGTAAGGGTTACTGTTAAGACTAGCTTCAAATTCGGGAATAACGGCACCAGTCAACTGTAGTATGAACCCACTCGGCACTTGCATCCGACCAGTTATCCGTGGTTGGCGGGAAATGTCACATGTTTGTCTGCTTTGCATTCCTCCCGTTCCAGAACATGTTGAGCCACGGTTCTAGCCATTAGCCCATCCTCGCTTCCCCCCGACTGTCATTCCAGACCCGGTGGATACCGTCTTTGCTTTCCATTTATTTGACACGCTTCAGACCCCATCCATCCCCAACTGTATTGCATTCCATTCCACCCAACACAATTGGATCAGATACCCCCCTAGTCTCCTTTGGTCAATCCTCCTCCGATCCAAAGTATAACTCGCCCTCCTTCCCATCTCTCTTGAAGATGCCCAGTTCCAAGGCCAAATGCACCACGTCCTCCACCCAGTCGGTGCAGCGATACAAAGGCACGGCCCGGTTCAAAGGCTTCCCACTGAGGGTCAGTTGAGCTGGGGGAGGTGGGATTTCCTCGGCACACTCCCGCTCAAATCGGATCACGTCGTCTCTGGCGATCACGGCAATCTTGCGCTTCGAGTCCATCACATAGCCGGGCAGCAGTTCGGGATCGGGAGTGTTGCGATGGCCGTAGTCCATGCCGCGCAAGATGGTGCCCACCACATGGTACAGCCGACCGCTGTTGCAGAAGGGTTCCGCGTCGGGGATGGTTTCGATGAAGATGGCCAGGTGGTTGCGCACGCCATGCTGCTCGGTGAGGTAGACGTCGTAGAAATCGGGGGGTGATTCATCCATTTTGAATGCACAGTAATGTAGTAGTAGTAAGAGGAGCTTTGATAGTAGTGAGCGGATGTAATGGGAGTGTGAGGTTTTGTGGTAGTGAGAGATGATGGCTGCAAAGTGGAAGAGAGTTCTCTCGCTGGCTGTTCTTTGACCGGATGGTTTGAGTGAGGCAGCAGTGCATTCACTGTCCAGCCTGGTGGTTGCCTGCTGTCACTGATGTCAAAGAATAACAGACCCTCGCGTCTAGTGTGCAAGTGAAAGACCGCATTCACACAGCAGCAGGCACTTTCACGCTGCCTCAAATATCTGTCATGCAGCCTGCACACACCGAGATTCAATCTACGTTCTACTGTTGAAGGGGTAGATCACTGACCACATCCTATCAAACTCTAAACCCCCATTAACACATCCAGCCTCCCCTTGGCCAATGCATACACTGTCTCCAACCGGGGCATCGACACCCCACACTTCCTCCCCAATCTTACGGCATTCCCCACGATCGCTTCGACCTCAAACGGCCTCCCCATCTTCACATCCTGCAACATACTCATCTCCCTCCCTGTCCCTTCCTTGGCCCTCCTCTCCGCCAATGCAAACCTCTTCTTCGCCGCCTCCTCATCTACCCCTGCAATCCCAGCCACTTTCGCCAACGCCACAATCTCCATCATAATCCCCCAGGCCAAGTCACGCGCAAACGGCTCCGAAGTCAGCAGGAACCCGCCATCCGTGCACAATGACAACGCACAGATCGGATTCCATGCCGCGTTGAGCAGCAATTTCGCCCACCTTGCCTCTTGTATATCCTCGAACAGCACCGCATCCCCGCCTCCTTTTATCATCAACTCGACGAATTTCTTCGCCGCCCGTGTATGTTCCTCCGGCGCGCGAGCCGGATACGTTCCTAGTTCTAGGAGATCCAGCGGCTCCGCATGGTCGATCACACCAGCTTCTGTCTGAACGGTGGGCAGGTAGACTACCCCGCTGATGACTGGATTGGAGGGAAATGCATCCGCAATATCCTTCTCGATGTCGATACCATTCTGCGCCAGGACAATGGCGGTGTGTGGGTGATTTTCAAGCACCGGTCGAAGCTGGTCGGCTAGGGAGGGCGTCCGACCGGGGAAAGCCTTTGTTGTGACAAGCACATAATCGTATTCAGTGTCGCGAGGGCAATCGTGCACGGAGCGAACGGTGTGGTCGGGACGATAGGTGACGGTGCCGAAGCGGGGACTGCGCAGGGTGAAGCCGTGGTGAGCGACGACGTCGTAGTTGGAGCGACAGACGGCGGTGACGGTGCAGCCGGCTCGTTGTATTTGGTGTAGGTAGATGGCACCGACGCTGCCGACGCCGAAGACGAGGACGGAGGGGGAGGCTGTCATGATCATATGATGGTTGCTCTGGGATAACGTGGGAGTCGGAGTTGGTTGGCGGCTGCGCCCGACCACGTGGGTCGGTCGGCTGGGTGAGTCTTCTACCGGGTGCAGCAACTTTACCATCTACGGAATTCTATATAGCTTTCTAATATCTGATTGATAGTAGGAATAGTTATAGATCCGGAATTTATACCCCATAAACATGATACTGTCGTGGTGTACATATTCACAATGTATATACCACCCCTGTCTCTCATTCCACTGATGTGATAAACCTCTAGATCTTCGCCTCCGACTTGAGATACTTCTCAAAGAAATCAGCCAGCTGATTGTACCTATATCGTCGTCAGACACTCTTTCTTCTACTGTGTAATAGTATGAATGACAACTTACCCCCGCTGATACTCCGCCAACCCCTCCGGAGTCTCCAACTGAGCACGAGCACCCATCCAGCCATGCCACATGGTCGGATACGTCTCAACCACGCCTCCAATGCCATTGCCAGCAATGACCTCAGCGTATCCCTTCACAGCCTCCACCGGTTCATCCTTGGACGCCAGCACAATATGCGGAACCGTCAACTTCTTAGCCTCCTCGATATCCATGAACCTATCTCTGTCAGCAACCACCGTCAACCCAATGGAGACAAAACATACCCAGGATGCACCTGTCCCGTCGCAACAAACGGCGAATTCGGCCCCGAGACCTGGGCAGTAACCTACCAAACCCATATCAGCATCACCCATATACATCCAACCAAGAAACAGATAGAGAAAATACATACCTTCCCACCCCAACACAACCCAAACGCTCCCCAACTCCTCACCCCTCCAAACCTCACCCTCGCATCCTCTGCAACCCTTCGTAACACCTCCACTTTGTCCTTGACCGCCGCCTTCGTATTAATAAACCCAAACAGCGCCGCCTTCTTCTCCTCCGTATCGGGCGGAAACCACGCGAGATCTGCACGCTCGCCGTGGAAGAAATCAGGCACTAGGACGAGGGCATTGAGTCGTGCAGCGAGGAGATCTGCACCCTGGATGGTTTGGTTCGAGAGGCCGAAGATGTCGTAGATGTCGATGATGCCGGTGGTGGCTGTTGGGGGGCCGGTTATATCTATTGCAGTGGTGAGTTTTGTGGTTATGGATTAATGGGTGGGGGGGAATTGATGTACATGTCTTTAGATCGGCGATTTGGGTGTAAGTCCCCTTGGGTGTGTATCCTGAGGAGATCACGGGGGGGATGGTGCGGCAGGCTTCGCAGGTCATTGTTACGGTAATTGGTGTATCTTGGATGGCGAGTTGGGTAGAATTGAGTGAGATGAGATTGTAGAGTAAAAAGAGGGGTTATCTGTTTATCTATACGTAGGCTGACTGGAGATCCTCATTGCCGGAGATAGCTTCCGCCCGGCTTTTAGCGAGTAACTACGGGATAGTAAGTAGTGACCAATTCCCGTGGTGGTCGGGATTGTTCAAGCAGAGACCGGTGGGCCTGGGAGGCCGGTTACGGGCCGGGGCCGCTCTTCGATGCAGACCCCGGAGGGGGTAATGGTGCAATTGTTGATGTTTAAGTCCGGCGGAGATAAGGATATTCCTCAAATTTTAGAGGGAAATGGTTCTTATGTGGATGACACTAAAAAGAGTAGTTGGAAACGTCACGGTAATACTCCACTGGAGAGCAACTTGCAATACGATTACATTCTAGAGTTGAATTCATCATTATCATAACATACAATCATCGCTGTGCTGCATCTCCTCATGCACTCGCATTCCAGTCGACAATGGCATCATCGCCAACCTTTTCCTTGATGATTCTGTGACTCAGGTCCCACAATGCAGCACCCAATGTAGGATCCGACGCCTGGGCAGTCTCCTTTCCGGGCTGTGCAGGGTCACTGAAGTAGTATCCGTTCCAGCCCTTTTCTTCAACTTCGGGGCTTGTCGCTGCATATAGTGCACTGAAGGAGCCGTGCTCGGGTGTCCGACCGGCTGCTAGCATTACTGTTGTTAGCAGCTTGCCCAGGAGGCCTGGATATGCGTCTTTCCATTGTTGTTGCATTGCCGTGTTTACCTGTTCTCATGTTAGCCGAAATTCTGCTGGCAGAGAGCCAATGGTAAAACTTACAGCACCCGGGTGCACAGACAGCGCATAGATATTATCATTGTTAGGTTTGATCACCCGATCCAACAGTCCGTACTTCACTCCAAGAATGATAGCCAACTTCGTCCGACCGTAGAGTTCCAAATTTCCGACCTCGGGATTGTTGATCTCCTCCAGCGTCGCAAAGTGCACGTTCTTAGGCGCCATGCGATGCTGCTCCGACGTTTCGAAGACAATCCTCGGCGCAGGGGTATTCGGTAACTTGGACGTCTTTCTCAGCAACGGGTACAACAGGTTCACGACATAGAACTGGCCCAGCCAGTTGACCTCAAAATGGCGATCGATGTTATCGTGTGTTTCGCCGTATTGGTTGACGTTTATTCCGGCAGATAGGATAAGCTGTCGCCCATGTTAGCTGCGACAATTTCAAAGATATTGTGAGTAAACGCACAAGATCCAATCGATCCTCCCTCTTCTTGAAATCTTCAAACACCTGCTTAATTTCGTTCAGGTTGCCCATGTCACACGGAAACCACTCAATCTGCGCATCCTCGCCGGCTTCTTTCTTGATTTGTTCGATCGCAGCTTGGCCTTGCTCTTCCTTGCGGTTGGTCATGTATACCTTGGCGCCATTGAGGACGAATGCGCGGGCAATTTCGTACCTAACAACCTTAGTTAGCTAGTAATGTGATATACTGCTGCAGAGAACTGACCCGATGCCCAGCGCACCGCCAGTAATGAGGGCGACACGGCCCGTGAGATCATGGATCTCCTTTTTGGGACCAAGGATGGGCTGTAGAACGGACTGCATTTCGTCTTTGTATTTTTGTTCAAAATTGAAGCGATTCTGAAGTTTGATCGGAGATAGAAGTGCTGTTGAGAGGTGCGTTGGCGGAAGATATTAAGGTTGCATGGCTAGCTAATTGACTTCGCGCGTAAGTATGATATCAGGATAGTGTCACTGTGGTGCCGTGGCTGGGGCGAAGTGCAAAACAGGGTTGCACTCAGGTCGGTGCATGACTTGATTGTCAGGGCCATCTTATAAGATGAGTAAATAGGGGATATTATAGCCATTGCCCTGTCGATTTTATTATGCGATGCTTTCGCTATTGTACAATGATAGAGTGGTGGGTGAGATGATCACCCGCAGTCTAATCCAGAGGGGACCTGCATAAATATGAATGACTAATGATGCATTATTATGCGTCATATCTAATCGGAAGACTGGATTAAAGTGAGATGCACTACGTCATTTCCGGTAGCCAACAGCTTCAGACTACTCCAAGGTAGAGAAAGTCACTCGACACATTCTAGACCATTGGTATGAGCAAAGAATCATTGCTATCCCAAAATAATCCAGTACAATTAAGAACTCACCGATGCTTTCCGATATTATATTGTCTGTGTAAATAATCAAAACAGCATCTCAATCACTACCAGAATGTTCTCCAGCGCCCCTCCCCAAAACCACCGCCTGAAAGTCACCGCAGGCACATCCTACGCACCAGAAACCCACGAAACCGTCACTGTAAATAATACATCTCCTCTACAATTAAAAAGCGACCACTTAACCAGCAATCTCTGGGTCCGCATCAAAGACTACACAGGTATCTACACCCTCACATCTGCTACATCACCAATACTGTTACTAACACATCATAACTGCAGGCTACCCAACCACCTCCCCCAAAACAAATCCCTACTTCGACACACCCCCATTCAACCAAAATCTCTTCTCCCTCACCTTCACCCTCAACTTTACCCACGACGTAAACGGCAATGACCTCGTCTTCGGAAATGACTTCGACCATCCGATCCGCTCATACCTACCCACTGGATTTGGCACGGCGCTGAAGATAGTCAAATCTACACTTGATCCCTCGTTAGATGGCGATGCGTACGCCGATAAGCCGTATTTGTATAGTCCTGGACTGGCGTCGTGGAATCAGTTCTCGATTGGGGATAAACAGGATGATGGTGGGGGTGAGGAGAATACTATAGTCCAAGAAGGTGGCATAGGTTCTGGTGTGGAGGCTCGAAAAGAGTATAATATTCCTGATAGCTCCTCCTCACGGAGGACGCATTTTCAGAATGAGGAGAGAAGACAGGGGTTTGTTTTTGAGAAAGGGAGGACTTATGCGGCGGATTTTGGGAATGGGTATTTGGATTTCAACGGTACGTTGCGCATTATTCTTCTACATGTAGTTGGGATATTTCTGGGTGTATATGTAAGGCTGACATTCAACAGAGTTTGCGATTCGAATCCCCGGGTTTAGCTTTCATATTGCGAAATATGTCAGTGATAAGAATAACGTGTTACGTTATGTCTTGAAGAATCGAGCGACGGGGGAGGTTTACTTGGTGATTTGCTTGACGGTTGTGCTGGAGGAAGATACTAAGGATGATAGTGATGAGGGCGAGGGTGATGATATAGTAGATGTAGGAGACGAACAGGAGGTAGATGATGTGGACTAGCTGATCAATGAGTTTGGGAAATATGCTTGTCAATGACGATAGGTGCATAGGATGCTAGAGCTATTAAATATACCGTTGGACTGCAACGGTAGTTTACTTTCAGCGTTAGCTATATACAGCACAAGTTCATTGTATTTTTCCCAATACCACTGCTACTTCTCATACTCGCCCAAAGCCCAGTCCAACAAGTCCGGATACCACCGCCGCCCAACATCTTGGTGACTCATGACCCGATGTATAAGTGTGCCTTCGCCCACCCGTCCCTTGAATATCTTATTGAAGGTCGCCTCCGCATCCGACCTGACTTTGTCATCCTTGATCAGATCCTTGATATGCGGCGGAATTTCAAGGGAGATATTCTCCGCCGACAAGTCCAGACTCATGCCTTGGAACACAGGAATAGAGAACCGCGGTCCCAGAGGCGCTCCCTGCGCATCCACAAAATTTCCCGGTTCCAAGTTGACTCGATGCGTTGTGGCCGTGCAGACCCCTCCTGTGATAGCCTCAAGCGCGCGACCGATATTAACGACCAACGAGCCCGGCATTGGCGGCGCGGGGATCCATTCTCCGGCTTTGTTTTGCACCTCGAGTCCGGTATGCGGTGTCGCTTGGAGCAAGAATGTCAAGAACTCAGAATCCTTATGGGCTCCGACGCCTTGCGCTTCGGATGGAGTAGTTGGGGGTGGGTATTTGATCAGTTTTAGCTTCTGCTGTGTTGGATTCTCGAAGAATTGCTGTAGTGCTGTCGGCGGTAAATCCAGTGCTTCTGCGATGAGGATCCTGAATGCCTCGGCAATTGGACTCATCTCCGCCAAGTATGCCTCCACGGCGTGACGGAAGCCAGGGATGGCTGTCTCGTCGGGCCACTGTGCTTGTTAGTAAATGATGCTTTGCAAATATCATCTTCATCACGTACCTGATTTGGTCCTCTGATATTACGGTATAGAGGTGCCTCTGGTGCCGGAGGAGGCAACTCGGTCGCAAACTGCGTGCGTCAGTTTCAAGTGATCTTGCCGAAGTTGCAACGGTCGCACATCAAATTGTTCTCGATAATCGGTTTGACGAGCTGTAGTCTCCGCTCCGAGTCTCGAGTATCCCAGAAAATGCTTACTGTTGACCATTTCGATTTCCAGCTTCTTCTCGAGTGGCAGATCAAATATGTGAAAGGTCTTTTCAATCAGCTCGTCGCGCACCCGAGGCGCGATCGGGGCGTTGATGAGGTAGAAGAAGCCCACATTAACCAAGGCATTGCGCAGGTTGGCGAGGAACTTGGGCTTATTCTCGGATGATGTTGCCTGGAAATAGTCGAGGATGGGAATAGAAGTAAAAGAGGTATGATTGAGTGTCATTGTGAAGGTTGAGATAGGCTGTTGAGGGGTTACAGTAGATGCGGGGTGGTTTTATCGGAGGCGGTGGAGCAAATGGGTGCTTGCGCCATTCTCTGACTCGCTGACACCTTCTGTTATGGTATTTAGAAAGCATTTGGACCCCTGGTTGTACATTGCCATGCGTATCACAGAAGTATCATTCTAGGATAATTTGTGCTTGCAGGACTGCTCGGCTCGAGCTTTCCTACCAGTCTAGCAATTAATGAAGCTAGTTTGAATGTACAGTCCTTCTCCGTCAAACTTTGTTATCGCTAAACTCCAATGCCAAGAGAAATATTGTTTATAATCCTGAAGTATGAAGGTTTTGTGGGAGTATCAACCTGTAGCGTGTGACTTATTTTGTTATACATCTCCGATATCCGTCAGACTCCCCTAGAAACATCAACCAGAGAAGGGAGGCCGAGGATTTATGCTGTCTGGGCGGAAGAGGATACGGTGGGGTGCCAAAAAAACGGTGAATACCCCCATACAGTAGGTTGCTTGGGTCTATTACTAGTTTTAGTTGATGCTAATTATTTCGTTTGCCGAAGAATCCGGTTACTCTTGGTAGAAAGCCAATGTGTAGGGTTGGAAGAATGATATTTTATATAGCTAGGTACAGCCCGCAAGATGGCGGCGAGAGACTCATAAAGGTTGTCAGAAGTAGTCTCCTGGTCATTCTTCAAAAGGAACGAACGCATTTTTGTAGATGAGAAAGTAGTTACAATATGGCCAGCTCGCGGCTATGAGGAGGGAAGATTAGTTAGACTTGTCCTACGCATCGGGCTTGCTGCCGCCCACGAAATCGGACGGGGAAATGTCACAGGGAACGAGGGCTTTGAGGAGTGTGACAGCCTTATCAGGCACCCAGTCCATTACCGTGTCGTTGTTTCGTTCAAGCTCCAAGCGAATACTGACGTCCAGATTCTGCCAGGCGGTTTCCATCTCCCGAAGGGCCCTTAATGCTTCCTTTGTGAACAATGTGTTGATTGTTACGGAGTCATTCACTTTGGATCTTTCCTTTAGAAAGGCCAGAAGAACACTTGCAGGAAATTGCCAAGGCGTATGGTCCCTCAAAGATGGTGAGGAGGGTAACCTCAGTTCCCTGATCGAGGACGGCCATGGGGAAGGAATGGGCATACTGGGTAGATTAAAGATTGTTCGACAATTCTCGACAGTTGTGATCTTGACTTCCTTGGGTTTCCACATCATGTAGCGACCCATTACCCATTTTAGGAAACTTTCTCGGTGGAGGATGGAATTCTCCTCGTCTAGGTTCCAGTCTCGTTCGGTTATAGGTGGCAAGGGGGGATCGAACGCGCCGAAGAAATCTTCATCTTCGGCCACATGAGCCTGGATAGCCGGTGGCTCGGGAGTTGTCTGCAGAAAAGGTCCTTGCTCTTCACGCTTGAACTGGACTACATCATCCTCAACCATTTTAAGGGATAGCTTGATCCGTTCTCTTTCCGCACGGATGGCGGAATCGATTTTGAGTGACAAAGCCTCGGTCCCAGCTAGCTTGGCGCGCAGCTGCGTCCATAGGGAGCCTTTTTCGTTCTTATGGTGGAAGGAGTGCAGGAATATAGGGTGTTCCTCTGTGTGTTCAGGGTGGTAGCCAGCAAAATCTTCTGGGAAGTAAGCCCGCGTCTCCTTTTCTTCCTCTGCTTGGAGAAGCCCTTGGAGAATGGATGGCTGCATGCCGTTTCGTGCAAGAATAGCCGCTTCCCATCCTCGTCGCTCAGCTCGCCAGCTGTTCATCTCCACCCGCACTTGATCGAGTTTCTGGGCGAGTTGCGAGGCATAGTCGTTGCTCATGGTAAAGGCGAGGTCCAGTCGTTGAAGATGACAGGCATACTGAGGTAAGAACAGGCAGTTTTCAGGTTTCGTCGTCCTGCCTTGCAAATTCATTAATCTGTATAGGGCTCTTGTGTCGGTACGAAGCAGCAGGCTTTCATGGTTCATGTTATAGAACATGTCATCTCGTTTGAGCCATAGCTCATTGGTAGTGACCCCAATGATTGCGGTGGGTGCCGTCAGGTCGTCTATCACTGGACAGGGAGGAGGTAAAGACGTGAAATGTCTGAGAGATGGCATGCTTAGGTAACAACAGTGTGGTGGAGGGAACATCCGTATGATGCATCCTTGCCCTTTCTCGGTAGAGTCCCGTTTACCTCTTCTGGGTACAAGGGGTCTCGAAATGTCATCGTGTGAGGTGCTTCCCTCTATCGAATGTTTCCTAGTCGGCTGAGTTCCCTCACCTGGTTGGGGTGCAGTGACGGTCGCCTTACAACGATCCATCATGATTTCTGGGTCTTGTGGTAGTGATCTCTGTTGGCCCGGTGTGAGCTGTTCGGTAAGCGAGTAGGATGAAGAGTGCTAGATCTGAGCAGGAAGAGAGGCCTGTACGCTTTCTTCTCCGAGATTTGGAAGGAAGAATTGAGGGTTCCCAAGACTGGGTGAGGGTGCCCGGGCTGGGCTTCTGAGGTGTATTTGGCCTGGAGAGCTGTAGGAGAACCGCAACAATACCCACACGGCTCCAGATCTTTTGTTTCGATAGGAAGAGTCCCGGAAGGAAAATGGTTGATGATGGCTGCTCGGTGAGGGACATCATGAGCCTTCTCCTCACCAGCCAGATGATCAGAAAGGGAGATGAGAACTGCTCCTGACACACAACACTACTCAACCCCTTGTCATATCCTCCGTCACTCTAATTCATCAGCCGATTTCTTCCAAGGATTACGAGCTAGCTAACACTCACCTTAAACTCGACTTCAATCTAAGACTTCTCATTTTCTCCGATGAATCGAATCCGAGGATGAACATCACTGGTAGCCAGATCTGAGTACCAATGGACTCTTAAGTCCCGACAGCAATTTCACACTCACACCACCCCAAAGTCACCTTACCTTCAGTAAATCTTACTCAAAATACAACGCCCAGAACATATGTTGCATACCTAGTGCCACCGCTCCTTAATCAAAAATCAAAGGTCTTCCGCCTACAAGCACTTCCTTCACATTGACAACTTTTAGATCACTTGGAGCACGTACTCTGTCTAGTGTACTGCTCACTGGGACGTGGGTCCTCCAACCAGAGAGGCTGGGTGTTAAAATCTCTTATTCACTTCGTCCTACCAGTCTCGTGACCGTGTATTACCTGCAACCCACGAACTTTACCTTGTCAACGCCCACAACTTCTCCCAGCTCACTTGAGCATCTTCTCTTATCCTCTTTCACGCTGTCAAATTGAACCTCACCCCGAAGCCTCTTACTGCGTCTTGGTTTTCCTTCACTGCTTCTTCATCGTATCCTAAGTCACATACAAGATGAGCTCTGACCCTGAAATCCAGGAGATAACCATCTCCTCCAATGCGGACACCGAGATCCTCATCAATGAATACACTAGGGATTGGATGGGTGAGAAGGAGATAAAAAAATGCGTTTTGATGAAAGTCGAGCGCGAGAAGCTACTCGAAGCTGAATACTTCCGAGCAATGTTTGGTCACGGGCGCTGGATCGAGTCAGGAAGTCGGAAGATTACCCTAGAGGAGGACAACTGCACGGCCATGGAAGTTCTCCTGCGCAGCCTTCACGGCACCCTCGATGACATGCCTCTTGATTCAGTTACTGTTGCCGGGACGTGGTACGTTATAATGTCCTGCGATAAGTACAATGTTGATCAGAAAGGTTTGAGTTCTTGGTTCAAGGCCTGGTGGGAACATCAAAGCCAGAAGCGCATCACCATAGATAACTACATTCGGTTTTCGAGGGAATTGATGTATCCGTGCTTTGTCTTCGACAATGCCCCTGCTTTCATGGCGGTCACCAGGAAGCTGGTCTACGGGTGTGTAGGCCATATAACCGAACATAATCCCACCGACATTCTAAGGATGCACCTTCCCCCGCGCATCATCCGTGAGTCCCTCACTACCTTGTTTCTGAATGAACCAACTAACATCTGTTTCAAGAACAGCTCAATGCGGCCCGTGGGCGATTACGCAACATCCTCCACAGAGAGCTACACGATCAAGTGGCGACTATCCTCAAGTATGGGAGCTGTGAGTGCAAAGAACTCACTGTCTTTGAATACTTGCGGGAACTGGCCAGAATTGACGTGTGGCCGCTTGAAGAGTCAATGAGATCCGACAGTATTAAGAAGATGCTCGAAAGACTGCGTTTGTTTGATGAAAAGAAAATGAGAACCTATACCAACCCCGGTACTGGACAGGTGCAACCATGTCATCGCTGTAACAAAGCTTGGGGGGCTATCGTTGGGAGAGCAGCAAACACAGTGGCCAAATATTTCGATGGTCTGTGCCTAGATTGCATGAACCTGAGCAAGGGTCTCCAGTCAGATGGTGACAGAGATGGGGATTACTGGAAGCACAATGATATGCAGAAGTGGGATACCGGTTGCCGGGTCAAACATGGAGAGCCCACGTGGTACTTCAGTTTTATGGGGCGCAGAGAAAAGCGCGGCCTGATCGGCGATTAGATAACTTCTACACCCCTTTGCTGTGGTGCACATTGACATACCGCATTAGCTTTGACGCTTTTCGAGTGTACACTACAGCGATCGACGTCTTGAGGAACTCATATTGCTCACCGATGCGTCGCTGATCTGGTTTGTTGGTTGTGGGGCAATGGTTTATGCGATTTTGTGTTTCGGACTTTGAAGATATCTAATATGCTGAGAAGGAAATGGAATTCACATGTGTTTACAAGATTCCCCAAATGTACCCCAACCTCTGAGGTTTAATATTTGGATTGTTTCTATGCAATCAAATAAGCTACTCAATGGTATTTACCCGACAGGTGATCCTTCAGATGTCTGCTGTAGTTCATTTCTCTTCTCCGCAATGCGGAATGAACTGGTTTATTTAACAAGTCAAAGTTGTGCAATACTACAGGGAAAGCCTACATGATGAGCTGTTGGTTCAGCGAGTCTACTCGATCTAAATGTCGGAATTTCAGAGCACCAAAGAAGCTTATTTTTGCATTCAACAGCTCTACATGAAGTCTCGTTACGTGACTTGAGACCAGCGATATTGGTGGAAGTCAGCATGTTCCGTAATTAAGTACAATTCTGGCTGATAGTGCTCGTAGCTCAGACAGCACTGCCCATCCAACCGCTTATTATGGGCCATAAGGCAGAAAATCAGATTTTCATCTGTTCATACCGGATTATTGCCCTATGTGGAAGGGTTCCGTGACTTCCAAGAATGTACCAGGACAATACTGTGCCTAGTACCTCTGGTTTCACCTCGGTACACCACATTTACTTTTCTCCCGCGTCCAATGATATATATCTCCGGCTCATCAAGGCTTGTACACAAACCAGCCAACAAACTTAGAAATAACACAAGATACCCAGCTTGCGTATTACTATTAACCGATACAAAAATGCGCCTCGATAGTAGGTTCCATCCGTGAAGAACGCCCGTCAGCAATGTTCATCCCGGTGGGATAGCCACTCACGACCGAACCAGATGTAGATCCCTTCCTGAGACGTGAGATAATCCTTCCGAGTATGGCCATATGATCAACTTGCCCGCGCGGAAGTCCGCACGGTGTCCCTTATAATAGTGTGAGGATAGTAATTAGTTCTGATCGACTAATGCATGTGCTGTACAGGGTTGGGAATCCTTCCCCGCATTGTTCATCAGGTCATGCATGCCCAATGTTCGTGGGGTTAGGGGAATGGGCGTGTGCTTAGAGTAGTGAGGGGACTATGCTGTCTTGTTGTATCCGACGGTGTCCGAGAGATGTGGCATGGCAGTGTGTAGGTCAGGGATGTGGTGTGATTCGGACTGCATTAAAGCTGGTGTTCTACAATGCCTGGTTTGGATTGGGTGAATATGGAAGCCTCAGGCAGCAAATTTCCGCCTTCAAGAATAGTCAGCATCTGGATGCATTTCAACACAACGTCCTACATCAACCTCACAACAATGACTAAAAATCGGTCGTGATTTCGTATCGGCCGGGAGTTGGATCATGCCCGCGGAATCTCCGTAAGGACTCTCTCTTGACCTTCTCAAAAAAGGGTTACCTGTGTTCTGGTACAACCCCTTCCAAGTCCTCGGTTTCGGCTCCACCCATCGCTGAAGCACCCCACTCCCTTGTTTCCATTTACGTTTCGGTCTCACGCTGGCTTCTCCACCAGGAAAAATTCGTGTGCTTCTCTCCCAACTTCCTCAGATTCTGGCGTGGTCGATGTGCGCTTATCAACAAAGTGCTAGTGCTTTCAAATAATACCTGCGGACCTGCACTGGCTACGCTGCCTACACGATTACACACGTTGGGCACTCAAGCCGGCGGGATGTGGACTAGAATCTCTGCAAAGTTAGGCCAAGATTCGCATGGGCCATTCCTGAGGAGCCGCGAGTATAAGGGGCGCAGCTGAGACAAGATTCTCTTCTCTTTCTGCCACTCGAACCTCTGGTCCCTCAGAAGACAGTTATTGATTGCCCCCTGAATGTCACCGGTTGATGATAGATAAGAAACAAACTGTGATCCGGATGGTCCAGTGTCAGAGTACGGCTAAGGCCGGAAACTACTCCCGCAGAATGGACAGTGACATGGAGCGTAGCTATAGGTTCGCATGTCGTGTGCTTATGCTAGTTTGGGGGGGCCCCAAGACCACGCTAGGGATGCCTGAACAACTAATGTTGCAGGAGTGGTCTCCATCTCATCCCTGTCACTGACATCATATTACTCCTGGTAACTCACACTGGCTATTGTATAGAGAGATACGTCCATCACAACCCAGGTGTTGGCCAGTTTATCCACCCAGTGTCAGCGTTGTCTGCACACCAGTTATTACATGCTGATGTACCAAAATCATGCTACAGGCACGGTCATCGGCTAATAACGGTAGGTGCCTCCGGAATATTGCTGTTTCAAAATGCACTTTGTAACTTTATGAAACGACCAAAGTATCACGGAGGTCGCTCCGGACAGGCGGAAAACACAACCACTTTGTCCACAAATCGATGCAGTAGTCTTCCGGTGGGATTAGTAGTTGTTTGATGGGTGTATATATAACAGTAGATTTGGATGCTTCGGATAAGTCATTCAGTGGTGACAGCGCCTGTCTTGATAGCCATGTATCAGCTCCTATCCATTGCCTCGGTCCCTCTGCTGGCCAGCCTTGTGCATGGCTACGCCAATCCCGGAGCATGCTCGGGTGTTTGTACCACCCACGACCCCGGTTTGATCCGGAGAGAGTCAGACGGTACATACTTTCTCTTCTCTACGGGAAACAAAATCTCCTACGTATCTGCGTCATCCATCGAAGGACCATGGACCAGTGTTGGATCTATGCTTCCGGATGGATCGTCCATCGATCTGGATGGCAACGATGATCTTTGGGTAACTATGTCTCACTCCAGTATGACCGGCCTATCTGATACGTTCCCAGGCGCCAGATGTTTCCTACGTAGATGGTCTCTACTATGTATACTACGCCGTGTCGACCTATGGATCCCAAGACTCCGCAATCGGACTGGCAACGTCTGAGACGATGGAATATGACTCTTGGACCGATCATGGCTCCACTGGCATCCAATCTTCTTCTGCTAAGATCTACAATGCAATCGACCCCAACCTGATCTACGCCGACGGTACCTACTACATCAACTTTGGGTCGTTCTGGGATGATATCTACCAAGTCCCGATGAAGTCAACCCCAACTGCAGCTGCCTCATCTTCCTACAATATCGCATATAACCCGTCCGGTACTCATGCAGAGGAGGGTTCATACATGTACCAGTACGGTGACTACTACTACCTCTTTTACTCGGCGGGTATCTGCTGTGGATATGATACGTCCATGCCTGCTGCCGGAGAGGAGTATCATATCAAGGTCTGCCGTTCGACTTCCCCGACCGGTGATTTCGTAAGTCCATCCGACGTCTAGAGCAAATACTAGAGAAGCAAGCAAAGCTAATATGATGTCAAGGTTGACGCTGATGGCACGGCATGCACGGACGGCGGGGGCACGATGGTTCTCGAAAGCCACGGAGAAGTCTATGGCCCTGGCGGACAGTAAGTGATCCTGCAGCTGCCCCACCAATAGTCATGCTAATATGGTTCAGGGGTGTATATGATGATCCCAACCTGGGTCCGGTTCTCTACTACCACTACATGAACACCACGATTGGGTATGCCGATTCTGACGCGCAGTTTGGATGGAACACGATCGACTTTTCCAGTGGATGGCCGGTGGTATAAGCAAATCAGCTGGCGCGAAAATGAATGCTGCCTACCACAGGTTCCGCAAGTTGTATATAGGATTGCGACTATTGAATCGGCCGAGATATGTTATATAGTTAGTCAGTGAAATCATGACTCACATGATGCACACCCCGTGGACCCTCTGCCTGAGGCTCAAATTTACTTCAACTCCAATTCGGCTCTAGTTTAAGCTTCGCTGCTTCTCCCCACCCATCCTTTCCTAGAACCAGTGAGGACATTCATCTTTCCTCCACCACTCTATCGGTGCATGTATCACCTTATCAAGCTGATCATCATGTCGTAAATTTGACACCAATCCAGCTTTGCAATGTCTACCCCTTTGTGTGCGGCAGAAGTTGGGACGCAAACTCATTCGTTCCAAGCACCACGAGTCAGTCACATCCGCCCGACGCTTCAGACTAGCCTACATTTGGTGACTATCGCGACGGTCCTGCTAGAAATCTATATCTACCTTCCTATCAAAGATAATAACCTTCCTCATAAAGTCGCGCTAACGTCCGGTTGTCCTAGGCAGCATGAGTTAAGCTACGCTTGGCACGAATAACATTCACTCCACCAGTCCGACCTAGACCCTTGACCGCGAGAATTTTCGTACATCGTATGAGATGCTGAAATTCTCTTGGTTCAGAGTCTGTCATGTTCGGGTTGCCTTTCCCCCTGATATGGTATCCAATTCCTTCGATGCGCCCGTTCTCAGCTTCCGCCAAGATCATCGTTCTCGCATTGATCTGAGAGTCTGTCGCTCTCGCTCTCATGCCCCTATGACCGACTTATAATACACGATTGATAATTCTTCGCTTGATACGCATTTCGCACACCCTAATGGTTAGATTTGGGTCAATGCTTCTCGCTGTTGGTAGGAACAATATTTGATCGAGCGATGGAAAAAGGCCGTGCTACAGCAGGGAACCTTTCTCGGCAACCCAATAAGCAAACGGTAATATATATTGTTCGATACAAACTTTTTCATGGATTGGTGCACTTGGGCTATGCAGGAGTACCCTACAGTCGCTGCGATGCCTTCGTGCGTCCCATTCTAGCGGTTTCCACAGCGGTGTGCACTTCTGACTATTAATCAGTCTTCCTGTCGACACTGGCATAGAGCGAGTCATGTTCATCAACAGAAAAAGCACCCATGGTTCAATTCCAGTGGTAGACACTTGTGCTCGTCACGAGGTGATTCTGTGGGCTTCCTTGTCGAATCAGAAAGGCAGTTCGGCAGTGGATAGTTTTCGGCTTTTCTCGCTTGCTCCACTCCCGAACCAACGTCAATCCGGGCCTCGTCGCGACCTGTCACCCCCCGACTATCGATCTCCCTATCCGGCGGATTCCCATATCGCTTCGCATCCTCGCATGCTGTAGCCGAAGGACCCCGATGATGTGAGGCACAATGGCCGATGTTACGCAGGGGACCTCGCGTGGCGTTCGGAAACCGCGCAAATCCCGCGGCCGTGGATTGCGGGCCACTACTGGCTGGTTAGGCGACCTATCTTCCGAGTTTCTTTTACTGCTAGTATTTCTTCTGCTGGACAGACCTGCTGACTGCCATAGCCTGATCTGCAAGCGCCGGCATGTCAAATGTGATGAGGTACGACGGCTCGTCAAAAGCTTCTTTTCGATAATATTCTCCTGCTGACTCGGACGCAGGCTCGCCCACAATGCGGCCCTTGCGCCAAAGGCCAACGTGACTGTGTTTATGGGAGCAGCTATGAATCCGGAACTCCTAATATAGGGGATAGACAAACACCCACTGCATCGCAGTCCTCTCCCCCATCACAGTTGACTCCACAGGTGCAGCTACACGAGCCCCTACGAGTCTTGGTAGATGTCTGCCAGCATGAAGACGCTTCCGCTCACCGAGCGTCGGCTACGGCATCTCCAAGGAGACAGCACAGCAGTGCAACGCCGCATGTTGGTCCACATCAACACAGCCATGTCTCTCCATCAGCCTCAATTCACGACTTCACACCCTCTCCAGCTACAGATTCGACGGTATCGACCAGGCTTGCGCCTTTGAGTTGGTTCGAGCTTCTGGCCAATGATGCCGTGAACGCGGACCGAAACTTTTTCCTACCATCACCGCATCGAGACGTCAACCCCGCTTGCCAGGGATCAACAACCCATCTGTCGGTCGCAAATCTTCAACCTCACAATGCTAGGGAGTGTCAAAGCTTCCAAGCAGCTTCTTTTGAACGTGATCCAGGTATCGAGAACAGGATTTCGCCTGCAGCCGATGGCCACCCAAAGCTTCCCGATGACCCGTCTTCTTGGAGTACATCCGCGCCCATTCAGTTATCCCAACAAGAACACCTCATGTTCAAACACTTTGTCCGGAATATGGCTGGTTGGTATGATTTCTTCGACCCAACGCAACAGATTTCGAGCAAGGTCCCACATTTGGCTACGAGAAACATAGGTGTAATGAAAGCCCTTCTGGCCCTCTCGGCACGCCATCTTTCCATCTGGCATACTTACAAAGGTTCGGGGGTTAATCCATACCGTGAAGATGGAAGAAAAATGATGGATTTCCCGGATGTCGATCGCAACATTGCAGTCCAGTATTACTACGAGACCCTACAGTATTTGAATAAGGCTATGCAGTATCCCAGCTACGCATACAGCCACGAGATCATTAGCACGTCGCTTCTGATCAGCACATACGAAATGGTGGATGGATCTAATCGAGACTGGGAGCGACATCTGAAGGGGGTATTCTGGATTCAAAGATACCAAAACAATGATGGAGAATGTGGGGGGTTGCGTCAAGCCATCTGGTGGGCATGGCTACGGCAGGATGTCTGGGTAGCCATGCGGGAGCGTCGTCGAATCTTCAGCTTCTGGAAGCCTAAGCGACACATCTCCTCGCTGTCTCCCCCAGAGCTGGCCAGTTTCGTTTCATACATCCTTGGACAATGCGTCAACTATGCCTCCCGCGAAGAATCAGCATCTAAAGACATACAGAGTCGCTTGGAAAGGGGGAATGAGCTGCTCTATATGTTGCAGGAATGGCAGGATTATCTGCCACCGGAGTTCAACCCACTCCCATGTGAGCAGGATGCGACCGTCTTTCCGCCGGTTTGGGTCCATCCGCCCCCGTATGCAGCGGCGTTACAAATACACAGCTTAGCCAGAATCCTGGTGCTATCACACCGTCCGACGGTAAACGGTTTCCAAGACTATCGAGCGGCCCAAAAGCTGCTGACTACGTCAGTGAACACAATATGTGGAATTGCTCGAACTATACGTGAGGATGATCTTGCTGCCAGCCTCATGTCTTTGTACTGTATATATGGGGGTAAGATGATCTGCGTTGTCCTGGTATAATTTTTGCTGACCTTTTTGCAGCTGGCATGAGCGTCCATGCTCCTCATGAGCGGGCAGCGTTGCTTGAATTAATCGACCTCTTCGAAAGCAGAGTCTGTTGGCCGAGGTACTCATTACGCAACGAGCTCGAAGCAGAATACCGGAAGGATGGCCTTTCTGGGGTCACGGCATAGAATTGGGTTTACGGCAGATGTCCTCAGATTCTGCTATTACTTCAGGGGAAACTGGCATCATCCCATGGACGCAGCTTGGGTGCCACAGCGGCTGGGTGAGGCGTTACGCACGGCTGTCAGCTTTGTTATTGCCTTGCATTCACACCCACGCGACAGTCAGCCGTGCGATCACGGCGAGATCACCACGACGATTCCTGGGCATGAAGATATATCTTGAAACGTCTGTGGAAACCTTATAATTGAGTATATGTTCATAATCATAGTTATATCTTCAAACCAAAGGAATGAAGGAATGAGCCTTACTGGATAACCACATAAAAACTACTAGCACTACTGTACTCGATAACAATATATTTCGGAAGACTACACTCAGATGCGCTGCGGAAGTCTTCCGACACAGCATCCGAAACAATCAGACCATCTACGATGCACGGACTGCACGCGATATCGGACTGTTACACACACAGTATGCCTGTTTAATCTAGCAGCTGTCAAGAGTGGATGAGTTGTTCAGCGAACTGCCTCGAGTCGAGGCAGTCGATCGCAGGGCTGGCCGATCGCCGACCGTGGGGTATCGGAGCTAACCCCCGCACAGCCAGAGGGCAATCGGAGTCTATCCGCACCCATTCGTTAGGGAACGTGACGTAAAGTCCGATCGCGATGCCATTGACCTCGAGCCGAACACTTGCGATCGCGGGGGATGCTTAAAGGGCAGAAACACCCCAGATTCCGCCAGACATCGCTTCCAAATACTCCTCCCAAACCAATATTCTGAATCACTTACCTCCTCATCACAATGTCCCCAACTTCTAGAGATACTGCCTCCGCCGCAGAAGCCAAGAATGGCACCTCCACACCCTTCGTGAACACCATGCCCGACTCGACCTTCAGCTGGCAGATCACCCTCGCGCAAAAGGTTATTGCCATCACGGGTGCCAACCGCGGCATCGGCCTCGGCATTGCCGAAGTGTGTCTAGCCAATGCCGCCAAATTCGTCTACTCAATGGATCTCATGGAGCCCGGAGAAGAGACCATTGCCCTTCAGACCCGCTACCCGAATTTCCGATATATCCAGACCGACGTGACCTCCGAGGAGAGCATCGAGAAGGCCGTGAATCAGATCGTGGAGGAAACCGGACGGATTGATGGGCTGGTGGCTAATGCGGGAATGACCAAGCATCAGCCGGCGCTGAAATTTGAGCGCCCGGAATTGGAGCGCATGTTTAACCTTAATGTGAGTGGACTGCTCTACTTTGTTTGGTCGCGTCGTGCATGGTGCTTACGGGCAGCAGGTTTTCGGCGCGTATTTCTGCGCGCAGATTGTCGCTCGGAAGTTTATAGAGCTGGGGATTAAGGGGTCTATCGTTATGACTGCTAGTATGACTTCTTATCGTCCGAATCGCGTATGTATTCTTGACCCACTGGGGGGATGAGTTCAATGCTAAGTAATCCTAGGCTGCCCCATCTGCACCTTATGGCGCTACTAAAGCCGCAGGTAAGTAATATTACTCTCATTCAACCTTTCTACACTAGGCTAACTGAAAATTTCTATAGTGCGCAACATGTGTCACACCTTGGCGATGGAATGGAGCAAACACGGCATCCGCGTGAACAGCATTTCCCCGGGTTTTGTTCGCACCGCCATGACCTACTACGTGGAGACTGCCCCCGACTGGGATACAAAGATGGAATACTACGGGGGAATGCCTCGGCTGGCCGACCCTCGCGAGTTGGGAGGTGCTTACGTGTATCTGCTCAGCGATAGCAGCTCGTACACCACCGGCGTCGACATTCCTATTGCAGGTATCGTCGGTGCTTGGTAGTGTGCATAAGGCAGATCAGGCTTGGTGTGGACTTTCAAGCATCGCAGTCAGCTGGCGTTTGATGGAACCATATGTACATACACGACCCTTCCTATTGACATGATAGACAACGACCCTGAATGACCGAGCGACGGGCTGTGCTTGAGCCAAGACTAAGCTGCATGAGCATCTCGTATTCCTACCCTATCGAAGGGCACGACAGGCATGACTGACCTCGTCCTCGGCATGACCGGCGCCTCGCTTCGCGTGGTTGCACTACTTTCAGGAACAGGCTGCACACCTCACGTTCCTGGCATCGTATCCAGATATGTCTGGGGTAATAATAGCCGATTGGCTGTAGATTCGAGGCTCTAGACTGGAAATCATTCATCAAATGAAGTGCGCCCGCTCGTCGGCGGGAAGTGTTGACCCTCACCTCTTCTTCACCCTAACCACATAGTTTACACCAGATAACAGCAGCATTCGATAGACGAAAGAGCATTCCGAGTCAAGCGATGGAGGCTGCCTCCCGACATGAGTTTCCATTCCTTGAAGAGGTCTACTCTGCGGAGCAGCCCAAGATCGAGTAAGTCCAGCACCTGAAACAAGCAAAGGGCAACCTGCTTAGGCTCACAGTTTCGTCTTCGTGCACGGCTTAAACCCTCGAGGTAAAGATAACCACCCCTTCGAAACATGGACGCACGAGAACGGCATTTTCTGGCCGCGGGACTATCTACCTCAGGATATTCCCCAGGCACGCATCTTCGTCTATGGGTATAATTCTACCATCACGAATCCCCAGAGCATGTCGACTGCTAGCGTCAAAGACCATGCCAATACATTGCTAAATTTGTTGGACTTGGAGCGGAGCCCTCAATTAGTACGTTATTCTGTCCAAATATCGGGGAGAAAAATGGTATCTGACGAGGAATAGAATGTGCGACCGACAAAGATTATATTCATCGGTCATAGTTTGGGCGGACTGGTCATCAAGCAGGTAGGGTGATCACCACTACTGGTGGATCAAAGAGTTAGAGCTGATCAGCTAGGCCCTGCTGAACGCGCATGAAGACCCCAAGTACAACTCGATCCGCAACAACACATCTGGTCTGGTCTTCTTTGGCTGTCCCCACCGAGGTACCAAAGGTGTCGAGCTCGGCAAGATCGCAGCAAAGGTGGCGCGGTTCGTCGCTAAAGGACACGCCAGTAATGATCTGCTGGACTGTCTGGAGCACAACTCGCTGTTCACGCGACAGATGACGAGTCGGTTCTCGCACCAGCTGGAGGATTATCGCGTGATCAGCTTTGTGGAGGGGAAAGAAGTCTTCTTGGGCGGTGCTGGACCGGCTTCTGTTAGCCATGTAAGCGGATTCCAGCTTCGCTCTTTATATCTTACCCTGACAGCATACAGTTGGTAGTCGACGAGGAATCAGCTGTCCTCGGACTCCCCGGGCAGCGCGAAACCCGACTGAAGTTGGACGCCGACCACTCGCAGATGTGCAAAGTGGGCAGTCGAGGCCCGATGTACAAAATGATCAAAGGCAACATCAAGCAAATCGCCGATCAAGTTCTCATAACAGAGCAAGGATACATCCCCCAACCTTCCGTATCACCTCATCCAGCCCCCCCTCTCCCTCCGCGCCTGCCAGGAAACAGCAGCATCCCATATCCCGCCGCGCCCACGCCCCAACCCACCACCAAACGCGTCATCGGCACTCTCTTCACCCCCGTCGACAACGATCCTCGCTCGATCAAGGCTGCCGAGTTGAAGAACAACTATCGCTGGGATGAAGCCCGAAAGGTCGAATATGACATCTTCAACGAACACATGCGCACCATCGGACCAGACCATCACAGCACGCTCGAGATTGGGTACCATCTCGCCTCTATTGACCTCGAGTCCGGATACCTGTCCAAAGCCGCTGAATGGGCCGGTTGGGTCTCATCCAACAGCCAACGCGTCTTCGATAAGCGTCACCCGCTCGCCATGAAGGCTGAGAGTCTCATGGGTGAGATCCTCTGCCATCAAGGGAAAGGCCAGGAAGGCGAGTCGGTATGCGCGAATGTCCTGGCCCGTCAGCAAATGACCATCGGAGAAGATGATCTGGACACTCTCGACACGCGACGGAGATTGGCGATCGCATATGGCGCTGTTGAGCGACGACAAGAAGCTGTTCAGACATCGGAGAGGGTTACTGAACAGTTGCGGGAGTTACTGGGACCTAACCATATACGCGTGTATGCTTCCATTCTTGATACGGCCGACCATATGCTCTCAATGCGGTCGCATGATACGAGAGCGCTGATGGTCATGCGGTTCAGTGGAGAGGTAGATCAGCTGGCGCAAGGGGCTACGCAGATTGCACGCGAGCTGACGGACCTGCTTGGTCCGCGCCATCCCCTCGCTATTCGGGCCTTGAGGCTACAGGGTGGGAGTCAGATGCTCAATCCGGACGAGATAACGGCGGCGTCGGAGACGTTCCGACGTGCGCTAGCGAATGCTGAGGAGGAGCTGGGCGCGGATCATCCCGAGACGATGAGCATCGTGGCACTGATCGGTGTGATGTATGCGTCGCAGGGACGCAGCGTGGCTGGGTTGTATGGCAGGCCCGGCCAGTCGAATACGCAGTTGGCCACGCCATGGTTGAGCAGATACTTGACATGGGCGGAGAATCGAATGGGGAAGGGCTGTCCGGAAGTGCAGAGTACGCTGGCTATGTTGGGGAAGTTGCACATGGAGGCGCAGAAGCATGTTGAGGCGCAGGGCTACTACGAGCGGGTCGTGGAGGGATGTCGTGAGAACGGAGCGGCCGTGCCCCAGGAGGTGCAGACGATGTTGCAGTTGTGTCGGGTGCATACAAGATATGTAATGCCGCAGAGGACTTCGGGGGGGATCCAGAGTTTATTGTCATCGTTTCAGCGAATGTGATTAACCCTTGTTATTACTAGCACTATAGCTGCATAATATATTTCCATAATACCATTCATTATCCATCATACGATCATCAACCCGGGTATATCATGGGTTAACGTTCACTGTAGCGAAGCTCTCACCAGAGGCATTGTCATTTTTACTGCCTACGTGACTTCTCCTCTCCTCATTTTCCTCACAAAACGTTTACCTGACAATGTATGCGCATACTACATACAATGAAATCCTTCCATGGCCCTGTCCCTCCGTGGCCTCGAAAGGTTGAGGAGCTCGATCCCATTGCATGAAGCTATAGTATCCCGCTCATATAAGTAAGCGGAAGATGTGTAGGCAGCCTGGCTAGTGTGCTCCCCGGTCGCACTGCCAACGATACTGTATAGCCAAACCCCTAGTATCTATTACCTTGAACATACGATGAAACTGCGAGTAGTCTGGGAGACAGCATCGAGGTTGTCATGGCCTGGTATACCTTAGGAGGTATGACACGTGCTAAATCATCACATAACACTAGACGGGGGTAGTCCTACCTAGGATGAAAGTGTACTCCCTCTCCACTCTCTGAAGTTCTTACATTTTAGTACTATCTACTCTTGTATATTAGTCGCTACGGATATTCGTATACTGGATTCGATACATTCTATATGAACGTGAATAGTTTTCATGCTACAAGTCTTACAGGCCAGGGACTGGAAAGTATGACAGAGCCTAACTTTACTATTATTACTTCGACTCGTTTACGAGGTCATCTAAGTATCTTGAGTCGCTGATTCTAGCTTACTTCATTGTATATCCGAGAGAGGCTCTCAGAGGAAGATAGTTGCTCTAGTCATGTACTTCACCAATGTATTCGGAGGAGACACCATCTTCCTTCGCCAAATATATACAAGCGTACTATCGTCGACATTATTATCGTCGTCAGTGCGTCATTATCTGAATGAATCGACATCCCTCTTTCCCTCGACCTTTTATCCAGTGTAACCCTGCATATTGCGCTATGCCGTGCGAGAAAACCCCCGAGGGGAACTATGATGCGCAGAGATTTGAAAGTAAAGAGAGAGAAACAGTCCCCGGTCTTACTCATTCCTCGCTGCTGTCACTACCACCAGCCTCAGTACCAGCAGCAGCAGCACCACCACCACCACCACCAGCGGCAGCCAACGGCTTAGGGACCTAAATAAGGTATCAGCCATAGTTCCTATGAGCCTGGATTTAATCATTACCCAGAAGCGGATCTTGGCGTTAAACCACTCGCAGAAAGTTGCTGGGCGGGGGAGGGGGGAGGCTGCCCGATGGCCTGGAAAATCCCTATACTTAATATATACTCATGACAAAAGCTGGTACTGAGTATCATACCCCGCCAGACAAGCTCCAAGGCTTGTTCAAATTCATCAATATTCTGGCCCACATAACCCCTGAGGCAGGTTGTCAAAAGTCTATAAATTAGAGTAAACAGTGTCAGTCTCATTCTCATAATGATAATGTTTCAGAATAAGAAGCCTGATAGATACCTTTTCTGTACACAAAGTACAATGCAATATAAAATTGCAGCTAAAACGAAGAGGCCCCCAGTACAGCCAAAACCGGCGCCCATTACCACAAGTTGGCCATTGGTGGTATTCTGGGCGGGGACGGCGCCCGGACGAAAAGAGGGTAAAGTCGGGGGATCGAGGCAGGGGGGGGCGACATTTTCGTGACGTGTTATTGAGATTGAATGGAAGATGGAACTTGTCAAGAATTTCTTGCATGCCAGCAAAAATCATGCCGGGGATTCCAGCGGTCTCATTGGTATCGGGAGTATCAGTAATATTCGCAGAGGACGACATCGTGGCTACAGGACAAGGAAGAGGAGCCAGAGAAGAGGACCGGGGCAGCAATGGCGATTAGAAACGAGAAAGAAGAGGTATCCTTGTACTTGGGGGAGTTTGCCACCACGATGGATTTGTAAATCGCATCACATTCTGCTTGCTGCACGCAACATTTTGGGAAGGGGCAGCGCAAGCTGTCCATGCTACTGCCATATAAGTGTCTATCGTATTGCCGAAATTCTGACCAACACGAAACCCCAGAATTTGTATGCGCCGATTGCCTCGGCATTATTATTGCATTTGCACTCCTTTCCATCAGCACTTTTTGTCAAGACGAAGGGTCAAAGATATATGGATTTGATTTATCTAGATTTGAAGATATTGGGTGGTGGTGGTGGGTTGGTTGGTTGAATGAAGAGGTGGTGGTCGGAGAGGCGAAGGATCAGCTGACAGCTGCCTGGCTGCAGTGAATGTCTCAACACTTTTCGCGCTGGTTAGCTCCCTATGCTCAGCGTAGGTACAGAACTCTATTCGGTTCGACTCATCAATACCTCATTATGTTCCGTTTCTGCCGCAATCTTCATGTCATGATGAGAATACATGTCATCATGTGACCTTATAAAAGCCTGCCTTCGCTTCTCACCTTTATTCTTTCAAGTTTCACTCCCAAACGAGCCAACATGTCACTTTCAGCGGTGGTCAGATACTTTCTTAGGCCATACACCCGACATGCGGAACGTAAGTCCCAGCAGGAAGGTGACCATGATGGAGCTCAGGTATTCCGTCTAGCACAGCTTCCAAGATGTGGAATTTCTCTTCTCTCATATAGGGATCTCTGGCAGCCCGTTGAAAAATGTATCCAAATGTACTTCAAGCTACGCTTCTCAATACAGCGCGAAGTCTACCTGCGAGCCAAGCATGACGTGTTGTACGAGGAAATCAACGCGAACCCATCAACGAAAGTCCCGTCTACTTCTGTAGATGAGATGCAAACCTACAAAAAGGAACTCCACTCTCTCAGAGAAACAAATTGCAACCTGGAACGAGAGACCTATCGCTATATAAATACACTTCCCGACGGGCCTCTGGGGCGGATGCTGTACGCACATGCAGAACAGAAGGATTGGTATCTCTCCAACTTTCTGCGCCAGGAATGCGCACGCTCCGGGGGGTGCTGTGGACGGGAATGCGGATGCTGCGAGAAGCCGAGAATTGATAAGCATCCGCTCCATAAGAGCCATTGCACTTCAATGTGCTTATGCTGCGAAGACGCAAGGGGGTATCCTGTGGAAGTTGAGAGATATGAGAATGACCCGATGATCGTGGATGTCTTTCTATGCGGCTACCGCAACTTCTCCAGGGACTATTTGAGGTGTTGGATAAATGACTATGTCTTTGGATTCGAGTAATGAGGAATCCCAGGCACATTAGCTCACAGCCTCAGTCAACCTAACAAGCTGCCTGACTACTTCACTACTGCTAAACCTTTGTTCATTATTGGAACCAAATCAAAAACTTTCTGAATTATTCAATCTTGGTATCGTGGACTTAGTAACTTCTTCGTTGTAGCAACGACGTGGTTCAACATCTGTAAGTAAAGAGAAGCCCACAATTAAAGATCCAGGTTGAATCGTATTGGGAAGAAACATTTTCCATAACGCTTTTGTGCAAATGGAGGTACTGCTGAACTGAGAGTCTTGGTCTTTGAACAGTAGGCCTGACATAGATTTTGTGGAAGGAGCCCACCTCCTGTCGCCTTCCTACGCTGGTTGAACCCTTTGTTATCGGGCCGTAAAAAGAACTTACATAGTGGTGTACGATTTTACATCCCACATCGTTCTCGACTTGCTATGACGATCAGACTTCAATGGACTCCCTGCGTTCGTCTTCTGGAGCGAAAAGCTTCCTGGCGCCCACTGCCCCCTCAGTATCTCACCACTTTATATATACTGCTAACGGTAGAGACACTAACACGTATACTAAAAGCGCCATCGCGAATGCAGAAGATAAACACAGAGGCCATCGATGGCCAATACCGCCACTCCGAGAATTGAAGTCCCATGATTGTCTTTATTCCTTTCAGTCCTTGAGGAAACGACATAGTTGTGTGTGTGTGTGTGTGTGGAGTCTTCTTCAAGATATCTACCTGGTGTACTAACTAGATATCTGGGGGCCAAGGTCGGTCATAGCGAACTATGCTTTCGCACGACAGGCATCGGTGCCGATTTCAGTTGGATATTTTGCGACAGGGATACAAGATGTAGCCGGGAAGACAGTTCAACTCACAGCTGAGAATGTTCAAGGCCCGCTACCGGCTGGAACAAACCCTCGCAGAGGTGGGTTTCCTTCTTCTCATCTCTCTGGTGGGAAGCCCTTATCAGGACGTAGATGGGGGTACTGCCTCGGAAATGACAGTATGACTCGGGGGAAAAACACAGGCGGTCGACTTTCGGAGCCACCTCCGTCTGCAATCGCCGTATCGTAGTGTACAATCTGCAGATTGATGGGAATTTGAAGGGTTATTCCCACGGTGCGGGAAATATGAAGAGGCACATGGAATAAAAATGGTCATGAAGGATCGGTATGACTGGATATCCGAATTGGCCTGAGGCAAAACAGATTGCAGATAACGGTGATCCTACACATTTTGGAGCATCTTGTCCGTATGCTGGTTCAGCGTGGGGTGACTTCCTCCTATAGTTTCCACCACGCGCCAGGGTTGAGATGTTAGAAACTCAGCTAAGTACACTTACAAAATTTTTCCCAACTAGTCAAAAGACTGTCCATCGATTCAACTCTCAATTTATCTCCGTCATGTATCTAGTTGGCAACTTTTTCGTGGAGAAAACGGTGGTTCTCTCCCCATCGCTTCGTACTTCTTTAGACTCCGACAATCCTTATCGCATTTGAGACGAGACTTCCATTAACAGATTATCACAACAGCTACTTTCATTACTATCTAACATGAACAAGGTAGAATACTGTCCTGTGCGATCCTCATCATAAACTGGACTTCAGCCTTGAAAAGGCCTCACCAATAATTTGGTTGAGAACAAGAAGGAACCTTCGCTGATGCTTGATTCATCAAAAACTGTCACTCCCGATGACATCCTCGAGAAGAGGTGCCTAGCCTACTTCAACGAAACAATAGGGATCTCGATGTATAGTCTATAACATTTCACGCTGTGCAATTCCAAGATTTAATTAATTCATTATAGTATAAATATTCTCATATCCTCCACCGTCTCTTGTAGTGAAACTAATTGGAAAACTTCTCGGGGACTTTCTTTCTATAATATCGCATATTAGCTTACTTCATCGCGAACTATACCACAGTCATGAGAATCCAAACCTACCCAGTAGCACTCTCAAACTGATTCCTCGCCGTATCCGTGATTTTCTCATTCGTGGAGCGCATCTTCTGAGGATCGATCTTGCCACCACCGAACTTCTGTTCGACCGAGTCGAGACCTACAAGAGAGATGATATAAGCATTCCATTCCAGCCGCGACAGCCCAAACCAACAACATATTATTATAGGCGCGCGCGAAAAAATACTCACCCTTATCAAGGTAATCCTCCTGGCCCTGGTTTCCGCTCGAGCCCGAGGCCTGCGCGTCACCACCAGACTTGTTGCCACCACTGAGCTTCGAGGCGAGACCGGAGAGTTTGTCCATGGTGATTATATGTTATTGGTGTTCAATTGTTTCGTGTGTAAAGTGAGAGAAATGTGATGAACGTCTGAGTGTATGATTCAGGAATGTTGCTGCAAGGGATGGATGTTACATTTGTTTTATATTTCGATCAGTGCTTAGTTATTGACTCTCCGGGGGGGAATTGGTGATGTCATGGACGGGAGTCCATCTGCATATGTAGATCTTGTGAAGTGGTTAATCATCAGGTATGTGATGGATGTGCATAACTCTGCAGAATGAGGTCAGATGACTGACTCTCACGTGAATGACATCGTGGTGATGTCAGCATTTCCCTGCTTATAACGTTATATGTCATCTAATTATGTTTATGTCTGATGTCAGATCACGTGCACCCACCCAGCCCCATCTCGTATTCGTATCCCCTGCATTTGCCCTGTTTTGTGCTGCTTGTTTGTTTGCTTTCCTTTTTGTGTCTGACAGGTCGGTTCCCTGTCGGATGGTCTGTCACGTCGCACACCGGAACCAGACGAGGAAAATTTCCTCGGAGATTATGGCGGCATTGCAAACCATGCGGGTTTGTATCACTCAGCCTACCAGCTGCTAGATAATCAGTACTAGTCGGTGCCATATCACCCCATTTCTGGGAGGAATTCTCATCCCCCTGCGATCAAAGCAAACCAAGATTTCACTGCCCAAAAATGCGATTCAGCCTGGTCGGCCCCCACGGAACCCGACTCCTTTGGCAGGATCCAGTGGCGCAGGGGCAATTTTGCTGCCTAGGTAGGATCATAGGATGAAGTGGTTCCAGGGACAGCAAACCTCCTGGATGGGGCTGTTCCCTTTCCCTCGGGCCTATCAAGGGTTCCCCAGACCGAGGGATTGGCCCTAACATTCCTGCCGAACTCCGGGTCAGAGCCGCTGACTGTACGGAATTCGCTGTATTCACAGAAACTCTGGTTCACAAGGTGGATTCGCCAAGGCTGCCCAAAGCCTTCCGGACGATCCGCAAGATGTGGCTGTTCACTCAGGATCATATTATTATAAGGCATTCTGTGCGCTGAATCTCTTCGCAACTTTTTTTCCCTTCTCGTGCCGTCCCTCCTCCACTCTCCCCTCCCAGTCCCTTCCCTCGAGATCGTCATCCCTGTCGATCATGAAGCTGCCTCTCTTCGCTGCAGCGGCTGCTGGCCTCGCTAATGCTGCTTCCCTGCCTGTCGAAAGGGCCGAGGCTGAGGTTGCTTCCGTCGCTGCCGATTTGATTGTCCGCGCCCTCCCCAATGCCCCCGACGGATATACTCCCTCCAATGTCACCTGTCCCTCGACTCGTCCGAGCATTCGCGATGCATCCGGCATTTCTACCAACGAGACCGAGTGGCTTAAGGTCCGTCGCAATGCGACTCTCACCCCGATGAAGAACCTCCTGAGCCGTCTGAACCTCACCGGCTTCGACACTACCTCCTACATCAACCAACACTCCAGCAACATCTCCAACATCCCCAACATCGCAATTGCGGCCTCGGGTGGTGGATACCGTGCTCTCACCAACGGTGCCGGTGCGCTGAAGGCGTTCGACAGCCGCTCTGACAATGCCACCAACTCCGGTCAGCTGGGTGGTCTGCTGCAAGCGGCAACCTATGTCTCTGGTCTGAGTGGAGGTAGCTGGCTGGTCGGATCCATGTTCGTCAACAACTTCTCCTCCATTGGCGAATTGCAGGCCAGCGAGAAGGTCTGGCGCTTCGACAAGTCCCTGCTCGAGGGACCCAACTTCGACCACATCCAGATCGTCAGCACGGTGGAATACTGGAAGGACATCACCGAGGAAGTCGACGGCAAGGCCGACGCCGGTTTCAACACCTCCTTCACTGACTACTGGGGCCGTGCGCTGTCCTACCAGCTGGTGAACGCTTCCGACGACAAGGGCGGTCCCGACTACACCTGGTCCTCCATTGCCCTCATGGACGACTTCAAGAACGGCCAGTACCCCATGCCCATTGTCGTGGCCGATGGCCGCAACCCCGGTGAAATCATCGTCGAGACCAATGCCACCGTCTACGAAGTGAACCCCTGGGAATTCGGCTCCTTCGACCCCAGCGTCTACGCCTTCGCCCCTCTGCAGTACCTTGGTTCTCCCTTCAAGAACGGCACTATCCCCGACAACGGCACCTGCGTGCGCGGCTTCGACAACGCCGGGTTCATCATGGGTTCTTCCTCCACCCTGTTCAACCAATTCCTCCTCCAGATCAACAGCACCAGCATCCCCACCATCTTGAAGGAGGCCTTCACCGACATCCTCGAGGACCTCGGTGAGCGCAACGACGACATCGCCGTGTACTCCCCGAACCCCTTCTCGGGCTACCGCGATAGCAGCGAAGACTACGCCACCGCCAAGGACCTCGACGTCGTCGACGGCGGTGAAGACAATGAGAACATCCCTCTGCACCCGCTGATTCAGCCTGTGCGTGCCGTGGACGTCATCTTCGCCATCGACTCTTCCGCCGACACAGACTACTACTGGCCCAACGGCACCTCCCTGGTGGCCACCTACGAGCGCAGTCTCGAATCCACCATCGCCAACGGCACCTCCTTCCCCGCCGTCCCGGACCAGAACACCTTCGTCAACTTGGGTCTCAACTCCCGCCCGACCTTCTTCGGCTGCGATCCCAAGAACATCTCCGGCACTGCGCCCCTAGTCATCTACCTGCCCAACAGCCCTTACACCTACGACTCCAACTTCTCCACCTTCAAGCTCACCTACAGCGACGAGGAGCGCGACTCCGTCATCACCAACGGCTGGAACGTGGTCACCCGCGGTAACGGTACTGTGGACGATAACTTCCCCTCTTGCGTGGCGTGCGCTATCTTGCAGAGATCCACCTACCGGACGAATACCTCCCTCCCGGATATCTGCACTACCTGCTTCAACGATTACTGCTGGAACGGAACCACGAATAGCACTACCCCGGGTGCTTATGAACCTAGTGTGCTGATTGCTACCAGCGGTGCGATGAAGAGCATGTTGGATTACTCCGTGCTTGCTGCGGCAGTGGGTGTGGCTGCGTTTATGCTGTAGATATGATTTGATGTCTGCATGAAGAGTTGTACATGTTTGTTTTTTATTAGATGCACATAGTCATATTTGCATTGTTTGGTTAGATTGATGATGAAGATACCGGATTAGATTGTGTTCATTAGCAATGACAAGACATTAACTTGTGTTGACTGAAGTACAATGCTTAGTTGCCTGAGGCAACAACGTTTCTATACTCGCTCTACAGAGAGCAGGTGCGTAGAGCATGGCCCAGCCCTCGGGTGGTTGTTTTTGTTGTTGTTGTTGTTACTATGTTTCTGGGTATTGACTGAGGACCCGTGTGACTGCATAGAGCGAACTCTGCCTGCTATGTTCGTTTCCCTTCTCTAAATCAAAAAAACGCAAACGAAGCCTTATGGGCGACTCTTTGTACAAGAGTTCTGTTAAAGAGAAAAAAAAAAAAAAAAAAAAAAAAGAGAAGAAGCTCTGCCCTCTATCAGGACCCAGAAACAGTACGACCAGTAGTAGTAGCAGCAGTAGCATTAGTAGTTGTAGTAGCGGCGCCAGCGGCACCAGCAGCAACACCGGAGGCAGCACCAGCACCAGCATCCCCAGTCCCAGCCCCAGTGCTGGTGCCAGCCACTGGTGTTCGGGCCTAAACAAGTATCAGCTATTGATCTTATGAGCATGGATTTGGTCATTACCCAGGGCGACTGGCCTTTAGCCAATGCCTGAAAGTTGGCACTTTTTACGTGCGCAAAGCACGACGAGGTGTATAAAGAGTGCCCAAAGGCACAGGCCACTGGCACCACCAAAGCCTACCTCCCCCAGAACGTTGTGGATGCCTTTAGTGGTATTCTGGGGGAGGAAGCGCCCGCTGAGGGGTAGACGAAGTCCGGCGTTCGATTGAGGGGTGGAGTCATCATGATTAGAGTGTATTTGCAGAGAAAACCCCTTGAAACGAAAGTGTGGAAAGCACGACAAGATATATGAAGAGAGCTCAAAGGCACAAGCCTCTCACTAGCACCACCAGCGGCGGCAGCCACTGGTTCAGGGCCTTAAACAGTTATCAGCTATTGATCCTACGAGCATGGATTTGATCATTACCTAGGGTAACCTGAACTTGGTCCTAAGCCATTTTATAAGAGCTTTTGGGGGGGAAGATGGGCCTGGCTAGTCCTGGAGAATACCTATACTTTAGTATATACTCATGACAAAAGCTGGTACTGAGTATCATACCTTGTCGGACGATTTCCATTGCGGTCTCGAACTCATCGAGATCCTTGGGCAGATAGGGCCCGACAAAAGGGGATGCCCACCTATGAATCGGAGCAAACAGTGTCAGTCTCATTTTCATAATGATAGTATAGCAAGATGAGAAGCCTGATGCGCACTTCTTTCGTGCACAGAGCACGATGATATACAAGATGGCGGCCAAAACGAACAGGCCCGCAGTACAGCCAAAACCAGCGCCCATCACCGCAATTTGCCCACTAGTGGTATCCTGGGGGCGGAAGGATGCGGCAAGGACGGTATCACGACGTCCGCTATGAGGAAGCGTGGATGTTCATTTTGTTCGATAAGGTAGAGAAAGAAGCGTAACGCGTGGACCAAAGCTATTTGCTAGCCTAGGGTAGGCGTATATATACGCGTTCCGGTAAGCCAGTCAGGCATATTTTAACGAGACAATCTCCCTGAGCAAGGAGCGTTAATATCCGTATCTTCTCGCAATCAAAGGATATTGCTCACCGATATATTTCTTCTGAGGCACGCGTGAACTGCTCATTCCTTTCGATTCGTGCGTCCACACGACAGGGACTTGTCGAGATTTGGGGAAGTGTACAAAGATTAATCCCCGTAGAAGGTGATGTCTGGAAGTCAGGAGGATTATTGGAGATCATGTTAGTTGTTTTGAGGATAACACGATGTAGAATAGGAATTTGCTGGTGCGATGTAGAACAAGGAAGTTGTCAGCTACGTACGATAATCGAAGTCGCGTTCCGTTGTTGTGGAAACTGGCAGGTCCAAAGTCGAGGAAGGAGCGCTGCTGTAAGGTTGAGAAAAGAAGAAAGTTAGAGGTAGAAGCGAGGTTAAGTGTTCCCTTAACGCGGAGGAATTTCAATTCAAATATACACTGACTAAAAAAAGGTCCGAGCTAGGGACATGCACCCGGCCAACCCACACAGAGATGAGAGGTATGGGTGCCCCAGTGATATTCACTGGATTTTTATTTGAAGCTTTGATGGTCCCCGCTGAGTTCTGGCGATACACAGGAACACAAGTATCCCCAAAACTTTGTCTTGCTGACAGCGATTAACAATGTGGAGGAGTAACCGGGAGGAGCAAAAAATTGCACTCAAGTAGACTCCCAAATTCCAGTATGAAACCCAAAAACATAAGCAATTATCTAGCTTTTCAAATAAGACCGGCTGGCATTGTTGAAGCCGGGTTGAAACACATCAATAATCATCACATTATTCTCATAGTTGTTAACAGTAATGCTGCACCCTCTCACCTTTTTACAGTATGAATATATTGAAGTGCAGTGGTCTTTATATTGTGGATATTTTCCATTTCTCAGTCTTTTACAGTAACTGCATGCCTGTCTACAACATCCTCCTGACCGCGTATATTCTGCACACAGCCATATCGAGAGATACTAATCTTTCTGTTCGTGGTGAGTACACAGTATTCATTTCAGAGGCTCATTGAAAATCATAACCATGAGATGCTGGGCCTCTCGTTCCAGATTCTTGATAGTCTTTAGTATTGACTGCCTCTTCTTTCAGCATTTGCATCTGCGTGACTAAAGAATATATATCTTCTGCAGATGGATCTAAATCCAGCTTCTCATACAGCTGGTCATGTCTTGCTTATAAATAGACCTCGGGCTGTACATAGAAGCGTAGTTTGAACAAGGTTTACATCTAACATGGAAGGATCTGAGAACTGTAAGAACCGGTATAGTTGAGCCATAAGGAAGTTGCTACAGCGCTCGCCTTTGCGCTCGCAGTGTCGCAAGATCCAAGAAAGCATTGGCGTGATGGTGGGGAGGATGGAACATGGTATTTCGAGAATAAATTCCCGGGAAGTGGTCTGAGGAGTATTTCACTTTATATAGTTCACTTTGAAAGGTACATTCGTCATCACCCTTTGTTGGGGTGTTGCTTGGAGTGCCAACATAATGAGGTAGTTGTGAGGTGAGCAGAACGGCACACTTACCGCAGAGGTCTGGAAGTTCCGCTGAGATGAGGTTGGGAAATAATACCTCGGTGCTCTGTGCGATCCCGACTAGTATGACGATGAAGACTGACTGGTAACTTCAAACAAAGCGTCAGTATGCTCCAATACAGGTTCTGGGCTAAGCTTTGGCAGAAGGGCGCAGCGCGATTTATGATTCTATCCACTGAGCTTTCAACGCCCGCCCCTTAGTCACTCGAGATGCCAGATCACTTGCACCAATATCGCCTGTGCGAGGTGACGAGTCCATAGTTACTGATACTGGAGTGACGCGGCTATGAAGACGGAATCAGATGCCTAGAAGCGCGGACTGAAGGCTTCTCTCCTGATGCAGAATCAAAGCTTGAGCCGGTCAAGGGTATGTAAATCAGCGGAGCGAGTGTGTCTACTTGGCTGAACTATCTGTTTCAATCCGTCAAGATCAATGGCTTTTTGTCCTCTTATCGCACCGAACATAATCTTCTACTTGAGTTTTGGGCTAGGTAGCACGTGTACCTTTATGATTCGTGGGTGCTGATCTCCCAGATATGAGTGACAGCCCCACGAAAAGTATACATGCAGTTTGCTAAATGGGAAATCCCAAGGGATAAGCAATCTCAGAGTCAATAACTTTAACCTAGGTGTCGTATTCGAGTATAAAGGCTCGCTCGAATCACCTAGCCATCCAGCCGAACAGACTGCAATCAATCCCACACACGCATCGGCTTTGATACAGGCAAACCCAAGTTTATTTCTTCTCCCTGGAGCATATTTAGTGTCTTTGTCCTCTTGCCTTCACTTCGTCAGAATTCGTCCTGCGGTCACTGATCATTCAGTATGAAGTATTTTCTTACCACACTCATGCTGGTCTCCGCAACCCTGGCTTTGCCCGCCCCCGTGAGATAACACCCTCCAATCTGGACACTTCCAGCAGTCCAAGATGCCCTCCCATCTAAGAAGTAATTATGAGGACCTAGATGGGCATATGGGCTGACTTGAATCTTTATAGGGCAAGCGTGACAATCAGGTTTCCCAGGACGCCACTGTGGAAGATTTCAATATGGAAGCCCCTGCAAACCAATGGTGGCATGGCAAGCGTGACGACCAGTCTGCCCAGGATGCTACGGTGGAGAATGTCAACATGGAAGCCCCTGCAAACCAATGGTGGCATGGCAAGCGTGATGTCCAGTCTGCTCAGGATGCTACGGTGGAGAATGTCAATATGGAAGCCCCTGCAAACCAATGGTGGCATGGTAAGCGTGACGACCAGTCTGCCCAGGATGCTACGGTGGAAAATGTCAACATGGAAGCCCCTGCAAACCAATGGTGGCATGGCAAGCGTGATGTCCAGTCTGCTCAGGATGCTACGGTGGAAAATGTCAATATGGAAGCCCCTGCAAACCAATGGTGGTATGACAAGCGTGATATCCAGACCAACTAGGATGCCACTGTAAATAATGTCAACCTTTGCAAGGCTGGTGTCTGGCCCTCTAACAACAAGCGCTATTAGGAGAAAGTAGCCGGCGAGTGAGATGATTTTACCATCACCTGGTTGGCTTCTAATTTGACAACCACCGCGTTCATTCCTCGACATCGCAACAGAACAGGAAAGTTACTTGCTGCGCGAGAGGCAGTATGGGATCGACAATAAATTGAGTTACTCATGGGATCATATCGGACGTTGAAATTTCTTTCAGTACTGGCTTTGTTGCTATTTTATAGTTGCAGCTTTACCTGTGATGGAGATCGGCTATGCGACTATGCGGACAATGTCTCTCCTCCGCGAGCAGGGTATACGAAAGTCTTTTTCTTAATTATCGTTCGACTTTATATAATCTTGGTTTTTTCGTCTTCTATGTGTGCGGAGAAAGGTAATTGCAGAGATTCATTGTCGCTTTTGCAGTACAGATAGACTTGCCGCGTCTAGCATGGCTCAATTGGCATTTCGTTGTTATTGCACCGGTGATAGCAAGTGTATATGACTTGATTTCGCAACTGTCGGATAGATTTACCAATCAGTGTAGCTTGGAGGATTATACTAGGTATCCCTATCCCCATATATCATTCTTTCTCCCTGTCGTAGTCAGAGTTGCGCTGAAAACAACAGTATTATATAGCGCATTTTAACATTATCATTGACATTAGAAGCCGGACCATGTATGGGCTCGGTTAGCATTAGTGCTGTGATGGTGACTTACTATATATTTTCAGTCATGGTCCTCAGCGATACGATTCCTATCCCGACTGACTCGGAAGTCAGTTTGTCGGGACATGAAGTATGCTCAGTAGTCACAATTATGATCGCGCCGACTTTAACCCCCATCGCAACGCATGACTGTTACCAGTGACCGGTAGCAAAGGAGATGCTAGTGCGCAAAGGTGAAACCCTAACTAAAAGGGACACATTCACTGGATAAACATCGAGGACAGCATTTTTCGTATTATAACTGGCGTTTGTAATGTCTCACATGATGAAATCCAACGCATCTGCCTATCGTAATGGCATGTCCCTATGGGCTCTCTACCCCGTCCGCTACAGCCCATGCCCCCTGCATCGAGTCCTGAGTCAAACTGGTCCGGCGAGGTCCTCATCTCCCCTCACCAGGATCATTTCTCGTCGCAAACCTAGCCATCTCCTCCTGCTCTGGTTGCTTCCTCCATTGAACCTTCTGCAGATACCGCGCTTTGTGTATCATGAGATAAGCCGAATGGACATCCTTGAACAGCACAAGTGGGTTTAGGTAGATAGCCCAGGCACGGAATCCCCAAGCTCCACCTTGATAGCGTTTGGGCGGGTCGTTGAGTAAGACCTCCTCGTCCTGGTCTGACTCAAGAGCCTGGTATGCCTGGGGTCGCGGACTGCTCACTGAGGTTGAGATCTCGTAAGGCTTTGTGCGGTAAGCATAAAGGACCAGGAAGGAGAGCGGCACCATCTGGACACAAATGAGCATTGTTGGAAGCCCCATCAGTGTGTCGATGTAGGTCATTGAGGGGGGGTAAGTGAGGACTTTTGTGCTAGTGAGGATGAGGAACATAATCTGGTTGGTGTTAGATATATCCGTTCGTTTCTGGATACATTTTCGGGGTACCTGATGAATACCTTCTCGAGCAAGATTAAACCAACGATCAGTTTGAATGCCATTAGCTTCAGCAGTGGCTTGTGCTCTGTCATGTATCCCTTCATGTTCACATAGAATTGGATTATAGCATTGAGGGCTATGGATGTTGACACTGATGTGACCACTTCGAGCTGTTAATCTCGTTAGTGACTATTTTACAATGCAGTCAGACATGGAAAGATATTACATACCCAAATGTGAGCGAAATGAGGAGCGTTGCTTTCAAGGCAGTAGACATGCATTGACTGTGTCACTACTTGGACAATAGCGGTAATCCAAGTGATGACAGGGTATTGGAGGACTGAGTACCAAGTCAACTAGACGCAAAGAAGCGGTCAGTTACTGTTCACATTAACGCCTTTTCTGCTGCCGAACGACGCACACTCAAAAAGGCAAGACCATTCCTCTTTTTCTTTGGCTGCCACTGTCTCTTTGTCTCAAGCGAGGAGAAAAACTTCACTTTGCTCTTCTCATCAGGAGCCATATAATCGCAGAGTAGCATTAGAAAGGCGTATAACGCAACGCCCTGTAGAACCTCAGTGAATCCTTGTAGGTAGATGTAGGAGTTCGGGAAGCAGATTGAGATGTAAGATAGGACTTGGTACGACGGGATGAGGTTGCAGATTCGCATTATTCTATCGCAACGTTGTCAGCATCCTCGAAATCCCCCCACGATTTCGAATGTCTTTACTTAAGTTGCTCGTTAGGATTGCTCATATGCATCGCATGTCGACCCATCAGGCCCAAGATGAGAAATAACACGATTGCAGTGCACACTCCGGACACAATCATGTTGATTTGATAGAAGGTGAGCTTTCCCACGAAGGGACCAACCTCGACTATTCCGAGGTCAGCTAGTTTGTCGCATCTGGGGTACAGAGATGTAACAACTACTTACGTTGTTCAAGATGGTCTGGTATAGGACAGCCGTAGCTACCGGCACTTCTACTTAAGATAGCCATATCGAACCAAGACTGAAAGAAACTTTAAAATGGCAATGCGGCGTGAATTGATAATTCAGCTGCTCATTGAAGAGATTCACGACTACACAGAGCTCATTATATATTTACTATGACCCTTCAAAGCCTCATCGAAATCCTAGACCAACAGGGACGGAGGCTAATCTCAGGCGCACCATGTCACTTTGCTTCAATTTCCAGGCCAAAGAAATACTGCAGATCTGCTAGACTCCGCCACGCGCAAATGAGCCGCTGGTCAGAATGTGCAGCCTTATTGCACTCAAGTCAAGTCGGCACGCCAAGACCATGATGGAGCCGATCGGCGGCCGTCAGCATGCTTAATTTGCGCGAAGTTGCGCGGTCAGCCTCGGGGTCATGATGATACGGGAATAATTGCGCGATGAAAAAGTTGCGCAGTCTGTATTTGGTCTACATCAACTTTGAATATTCTGGACCTGATTTTTTCAAAATTAATTAATGTTCGCTCTTAGTGAAAGATGAGAAACGGGCGAGAATATGGAAACCCTCACAACTCAATGCGAAAGTCAAGTAGTTAAGATCCGCATCTGAACATAGCCGTGAGTTATTGATGGCAGTGGATCACTCGATAATAATTGATATACCTGTAATTACATTAAAAAAAGGCAGGACCAGAAGATGTACCAGGGGCACATAGAATGCAATCAACTGACTGTTCATACAACATTTTCAACCATTCATATCTCATAATACCATAATTGGAGAGGACAAGGATCCCTCCCTAACTTCATCCACCAGGCTAAAGTTAGCACGCTATGCCTGCATGTATAGTGCTGTTTACCCTTACCCTGACGCATCATGTGCATTTCATTCGTGAAACGGCGGCATGCTGCTTTCGATTTCGGCAGTCGTACCTGGCAGACTCATGGCAGTGTTAAAAAGGTCCGTCATTGGGCCTGGCTGCCAAATGGTTGTAGACAATTGACTCCAATCAAAGATTTCAGATGGCTGAAGGACAGGGTCCATTGTATCTGAATATGGCCACATGTTCCATGCTTCAAACGAACTGAACTGCACGTTTGGCATTGCGGAGGGCTCGGTTGTATGCCCTGATATGTTCACCGCTCTCATGGTCTCATCCCATTCTGTAACGGTAGAAGCCTGCACTTTCAAAATATGCAATAAATCCATAAGACCTTTGAGCATTTTGCTGCTTGCAATATACATACAGCCACTCCTAAAGGCTGCCTCCAAAGAATTATTCGATTGGGACACCATGGCGACCAGCGCATCGGCGCACTGCTTGAAAAGGTCGAGTTGTTTGTCAACGTTGGGGTGCAACTTTCCGGAGGCTTTAAACCGGATAAGGTTGTTTTCCACGATATTTTTACATAGATTCAGAATGTCGATTACTATTGGCCGGATTGGCGCAATACAGTCGTTGCCATTCAGCTTCATTGATGCGCACTCCATGAATTTGGCTAGGATCCCTTGCAACTTGTCTGGATACCTTCCTCCAAAGTGACGCAAAAACTTGAAAAAGTGCGACTCGCTCTCAGAGGCAGGTGTTGTCATCATGGAGTTAATGACGGTGTTGCCCATCTGACTCGCTTCATCCGGGTGAATCTCAGTGCTTTTTCGCGGCCGATCCTTTTCCATCCTTGCTTTCCAGACGGATATGTAGAAAAGCCCGAGGCCAAGGATTTTGGCAATAACAGCATGGAAGCGCAGCTCCAGCAGTGAAGACATGATCATAACCTCATTCTGCCGTTCATCTTTGGCTGCCTCTGATAACAACTGATAGGCAGAAGTAACCTCAGCTAGGCATTTCTTTTCGCCTTCTTCGACAACGATGAACAACCGACTGGGGTTCATCCAGGACTGCTTCGAGTTTGCCATTGCCTCAATTTGCATATACGTGGCTGTAATCCATTTGATGTGGAAGATGATGACTGGTGAACAGGAATGTGTCTCCAGGAACATTTGATAGGACTCTATATGAGGTTGCATCCGTTGAAGAACCTGCCGGAAATCTTGCAGGGTCATGGTCAAAAAATCACCCATCAGAAATTCCTCGGCTGTAGTTTCAAGGCCTTGGATTGATAGGACTAGCTCACGCTCCATCACTACATTGTCGGTGGCAGTCGTATCCAGAAATGGTATGGTTCCTGGCTCAGGTAACAATCTTAGCCGCTCTGCAATCCGATATGCTATAGTCAGATACAGCTCGGCTTTGATGGATTGACTTGCAACTCTTTTAGACGTGGCCAAGGCGGTCGGCTTGAACGCCGATAAGAAGCGACAGACAGCAACGGAGTCTATGTGTGTGGGAGGACTGAAGATGAAGTCCTGGCCGTATGACGAAGCTGCCTGCAGTAGAGTATCTCGGAGGGATCCGTTCTGACGGCGAACACTTTCTGAACTTTCACAGGCAGCCAAGCAAAGGACTGCAAAAAGCAGCTTGGTGGCCACATTATTGGTATTGGGATCGGTGGAGAACAAGCGCTCTCTCAGGTGTAGCAGGCTTGGTGTGCCAATAACGAAGAGACGGTGCCACACTAATCTAGCAACGGTTTAGCCAGCTGATGAGATTAGCATAGTTCTGCGCCTGATCTTACAGGTTGTCAAGCGTGGCAGCAAGATCATGGCTCACTGTATCTGTCAGAGAAGTGCTCCAAGTGGACACCAGCTGAATGGTGGAGCCGAAAGAAGCATCCTTAGCCAACACCCCCGCGATAAAGGCGCTGGTGTTGGCCATGGCATGGTAAAGACGGTCGGCATCGGATGTAGGCTCCGTGGCATCCGGCAATTCCTGCAGCATGGAATGGTCGTCTAGTATCGCGCCCGAGAATAGATAGTGCTGAATGGAGTCGGAGAGCTTGGCCGCTTTCTCGTCATGTTGGGGGCTTGGACACGGGGAATTGGAAGTGTCTGGCTGGGGCGATTTGCTGGCCACATCTCCGCGATTTGCGCGTTTCGTTGCTGGCCGGCCTAGAGGATTGCTCTCGACAATGCATTCGAGATCAAGATTGCGGCATCTCTCGCAACATGTTGCCGGGGGTTGTGGAGTACCCAATGGGCCTAATGAGGCCAGCGGGCAAGCAAGCACGCATTTGATTTTACGAGCTCGGCACCCCCGGCAGATTAACCGCGCGTATTTGCCCCTAGGGCGTCGCTGAGCTCTTTGTCCTTGCATTTATCGGGATCGCAGTTGGTCGGAAGATAAAGAGGAGCAATGCGACCGTGGAGGGGTTGAAGATGGCCGGTTTCCACGGCCCCCATGAATGAGGCTGAGGGATCGGCATCGGCTGGAGATGTTCTCGCCGCGACGAATCATATCATCCTCTCAGCGCGATGTGGGCCTCGACTTGCTCTAGGTCATGATGTTTACATCTATGTTCACTGCGCTCAGAACCAGCTTGTTCATTAAACTGGCTTCTTGAGGTCTTGTAAGACATGTCCAAAGTGGAGGTAACAGTATGTTGGATCGTGTCCCTGGACGTCGCTGCCCGTTACCTTCTGAGGGCAAGGTCGGCTTCCGTTCCGTGCTCGGTGGCTATGGGCGCAATATATTGCGCTGCTTACGGTGTCACCTGCTGAGCATTGAAGAGCGACGAGTATAATGTCTTGCCCTTACCCTGATGTCTACAATGAATTTTGAAGATTCAACAATAATTACAGCAAGACAAGTTGACTTCAAAATGCTTCTAAGCATTATCCTACTCCTGGCTGGAGCACAGTCTGTATTTGCCAGATGCAAATGTGTATGTTATCACATGATCTCCTTCCCTCTTAGATGACGCGAGGATAGCTTACTTCTCGAGGATACAGGTCCCTACGGATGAGTGCTGGCCCTCTATAGATACATGGAGCGCCCTGAACAGTTCCGTTGACGGAAAGCTTGCGCGCAACGAGCCGATTGCTAAGCCGTGCTACCAAGGCCCAGGATACAGCTCCGAGCTCTGTCAGAGCATCAGCTCCAACTGGACAAGCAATGAGTACCTGGCAGAATTCCCCATTGGATATAGTTATCCACTTGTGGAAAGCTGCCCCCCTGTCAACGCCACTTTGGCTGGATATCCACAGTGCGACCTGGGCAACTATCCCGTCTACAGTGTCAAGGCGACAACCGCAGCTGATGTTGCTGCCGGGATTAAGTTTGCAAGGGATCACAATGTGAGGTTGGTCATCAAAAACACAGGTCATGATATTTCGCAGCGGTGAGAACACAGCGTCAGGGTTCCATAATTGTACACGCACTAACTATAACAGATCGCAAGGATATGGTAGCCTTTCCATTTGGATCAAGTCCATACAAGATGGACTTCATTATCACGACAGATACGTTCCTGGGAATGGATCCTGTCCATCCAACTGGACTGGAAGTGCCATCACCGTAGGCGGTGGATATGTGTGGCAGGACGTATACGATTTTGCTGCCACGCATGGTGTCATCGCTGTTGGTGGGGCAGATCCGGTAAGTCTATCCCTGGAGGCCGAGGTATGATACGCATCCGTATTAATGAATAGATCAGACTGTTGGTGTCCTTGGAGGCTTCATGCAAGGTGGTGGCCATGGCCCCGTTAGCCACTTTTTTGGACTCGGGGCAGACCAGGTTCTGGAATACAAAGTTGTTCTAGCATCTGGAAAGCTTGTCACTGCCAACGCCTGTCAGTATGCAGACCTCTTCACTGCCCTCCGTGGAGGTGGTGGAGGCACCTATGGTGTGGTCTTATCGGCCACCATCAAAGCCTACCCAACGCGTCCTGTCCTAGGCCATAACCTAGACATCGTTGCACTAAACGGAAATGACGATGCCGTTATCAACGCTACTGGCAACATAATGTCCAAATTGCCAGCTCTCTCAGACGCAGGATACTCTGGCACTGCAATCCTCACACCCTATGCCGGACCGCTGGTATATACCCACCCTTTCCTGAATTTGCTTGAGAACAATTCCACCGAGGCATTAGAGAGCGCCAAAGACGCCATGAAACGGCTTATCCTAGATGACCTGCTCCAG